GCAGCAATTAGTGATCAGAGCACATATCTTCAATATTTGAAGCACAAGGTGTTTTTCCCCACCCTCCTCCTGCAGAGTATATGCAAGCTGCCTCAGGAACATGTACACAGCTGCCTGCCACAGGGCTGCTACTGTGCCAAGAGCTGAAATTGACTGAAGTTAACCACAATTTACTTTCCAAGCCTTCTCCTGGAAGTTATCAGCATTTAAAAACACCAGAGTTACAAAATAGTTACACCAGACAGATTCTATCTGTACAATAGTTGTCAAAGTGGGGAGACAGATTCCTGATGCTTCCTACTCTGCCACCTTCCCAGAATCTTCCCAGGGTTTCTTTTTGAGGTGATAAAATTTTCTAAAATTGATTGTGGAAAGGGTTCTACATATCTGTGAATATACTAAAAAGCATAGACGTGTACACCCTAAAGATGTGACTTGTATGGTATGTGAATTATGGCACAAAAAAGCTGTTACAAAAACAAACAAGAAAAGAGAAGGAGCAGAATGCTGCCCTTTTATGAGGGAAGCAGTTCAGTGTAATCTACCCGCCATCATCAAGCGCTGAGACACCTGGGGAATAGTGCTGTATCAGGGATTCAGTGTTGGTCTCTGATGCTGGCCGACTGGGCACTTTTCAGTAGCAGTACTCAGATCAGCCTTGGTGAGGTGACGTTCTTGTTGCTGAGCCCATGTACAACTTCCATCGCTGCCACCTTGGCTACACTGTTAATGAACCAGTTGGGCAATGATAGGAGCAGCTGGGGAAAGTGGCCGACTGATGTCCACAGAATGGGTTATCCTGTCTTCCTAAAATCTTATTTTCTGAAGTCACTTTTTGATGAGCATTCACATGGGACACACTCATCTTCCCACTGTAGAGAAGTCTATCCATTTACCTCTTCACTAGATCTCCTTGTAGCAGTCTCTGACCATCTAGCCAAGCTATTTTCAACCAGTCTCTATTTAGCCAAACTATTAGTCACAACCCATGAATTGATGTGGATCCATATTTCTGGACATCTTTCCTTCTAGTCAAAAATGGGCAACCAGATGCATTGCTCTTATTTCTGCCCATTAGGACAGTCTCCCTTTCTCCCTGTCCTTCAGGAGTGTCCAAGAATGGTTCTGTAGTAATACATCTATCCATTTTTGGGTAGTCCTGCAGAACTATAAGTAAACCAGGCCTGAGGGTTTTTTCTTCCTTGGTCAGCTGATCATGGGAAACTCCTCATGAGCCACTGGGTGAGGTTTGAAAGAGAGAAGGCAGTGAGGCAGGAACCAGGACTCTGGACATCTGGCCACTTCCTTATGCAAATTACTTTACTCTAAGACTGCTAAAGCCCAGTCTTTTAGAACATCTACAGATGGCTGCTGTGTATTCCTCACTTTATGTCTTCTTGCCAGGCAACACACAGGTAATGATGGGTAGCTCAATTCTCACAGTTTCTTAGTGGTCCGTGGTCAAGAACTTAGTCTCTACTAAAGCCCAGTAGAAAGCCAAAAAGTGTTTCTCAAACGCAGAGTAATTATTTTCAGAGAATGACGTAACTTTGCTCCAAAATCCTAAAGGCCTACATGTGATTCACCCATAGGGGACTGCCAAGGTCTCCAAATAGCATCCCTATCTCCCACTAACACTTTAAGCACCATCATATCAGCTTGAATCTGTTGCAGAGCTTCCTCTTGTTCTGGGTTCCACTCAAAACTTGTAGCTTTTCAGGTTGCTCAGTAAATGAGTTACAGTAATATTCCCAAATGAGGTATACGTTAACTCCAAAATCCAAAGGGCCTCCCCAGGCATTGTGCCTCTCTTCTAGTGTGGGAACACCAAGTAGAGCAACTTTTCCTTCACCTAGGAAGGAATATCTAAAAATGCCTCAGATCACTGCACCCCAAGAACTTTCACTGAAATGACAGGCTGAATTTTTGTGGGTGGGATTTATTTCCCACCCTCTGGCACGCAAATGTCTTACCAACACGTCTGAAATGGTTGCCACTCCTTGCTCATCAGATCCAATCATAATACTGTCAATGCACTGGATCAGCGTGATGTTCAGTGGAAAAAGCAGGTGAGTGAAGTCAATCCAAACCATACTATGACATAGGCTGGATCACCGATACATCCCTGAGGTGGGATAGTGGAGGTGTATTACTGGCTTTACCACCTGCAAACAGACCTCTTCTGATAGTTCTTACTAACCGGAATAGATACAAAAGCGTGTCCAGATCAATAACTGTATACTAGGTCCCAGGAGGTGTGTTGATTGCTCCAGCAACAAAACCCCATTTGGAACAGCAGGTGCAGTTGGAATCACTGCCTGATTAAGTGCATGATGATCCAGTGTCATTCTTCAAGCTCGCTCTGTCGTCTTCACAGGCTAAATAGGCAGGTTGAATGTGGAGGTGGTAGGAATCACTGCTCTGGTATCTTTCAAATCTTAATGGGGGCACCAATCACTGCAGTCCTTCCAGGACTGAGGTATTTTCATAGGTAGACAGTTCTAGTGGCTTCCACTTGGCTTTTCCTACTATAATATTCCTCACTCCATGGGTCAGAGAACCAGTGTTGGGATTCTTCTAGCTGCTCAAGATGTCTATTCCAATTATGCATTCAGGGTGAGGAAATGTCCACAGGGTAGATTCAGGGACCTATCAGGCCTTTTATGAAACAGACCTTTCCGCAAACTCCCTTGATCATCTAACCTCCATAATCCTACTCTGACTAGTGAGCCACAATGCTGTTTAGGAATTTGAAGAATTAGAATCAGTTCAGACCCAGGGTCCAGTAATTCTTGGAAAGTCTGATTATTTCCCTTTACTCGGTGAACAGTGTCCTGGTAAATGGCCACAGGTCAGTTTGGAGAAGTCTAGGAGGAAGATTAATAACATACGTTTTTGGAAGTGTTACAGGGTCCTTCCTCCAAGGGACCTGGCCTCTCCGTTAATCAAGGGCTCAGTGTGGGAAGTGACCAAGGAGCCCGGTCCCCTGTTCTGGTCATTCAGGTCAGACTTCCATTCACTAGACCTAGAACTCATCCACTTATTCAGATCAAACAAGGCTTAGTCCACTCCCCACCTATTTCACTTCTAGGGGTACCATGATAAACCAGTGAATGCCAAAGGCAGACTCTTCTCAATACTGTTTTGCCTTCACTACCCACTATGGTAACCATGCTGAGCTCATCTTTAGCATATAAGTCCCACCAGCATCCCTGCCACCTCTAGGTCCCATCATGCCTATTGCATTTAGAGATCCCAGTTCAGTGGTAGCATTTCCACTAGAATTTTTTACCTACAAAGAACAGCCACCATCAAACTCTTCAAGAATATTAGGACTCTCCTCATGAATTTATTTCTGATAGTTACATGATAGCTAATGATAGTGTATCACTGTGTCCCCTTGACCCAGTTTGTGTATAAACAAGTCTTAAATAACAAAGCCACTCAGCATCCCCATTTCCCTAAGCCTGTGTGGTCTTTTGTCCAGCTTTATTGAGGTATCATTGACTTCAGGTGTATAATTTGATGTTTTGATACACACGTACATGGTGAATACATGGTGATTACCACATTCAAGCTAATTAATGTTGCCATCACTTCACCTAGAGTTACTATTTTTTGTGTGTGGTGAGAACACTTAAGATCTACTTTCTTAGCAAAATTCAGTATTACTATAATAAATATGATATTATTAACTGTAGTCACCATGCTTTAGAGAGATCTCCTAAACTTAATCATCTTGTATAACTGAAACTGTGTGTCCTTTGACCACCTCCCCATGTTTTACTTAGCATAGTGTCCTCCAGGTCCTAACCCTTTGGTTTCCTTCCTCTGTACCAGTGGTCAGCAAACTACAGCCAGGGGCCAAATCTAGCCCACAGGCTGTTTTTATATGGCTCATGGGCTAAAAATGGTTTTTACTTTTTTTTTTGATTAAGGTGTTATTGATATACACTCTTATGAAGGTTTCACAAGAAAAACAATGTGGCTATTACATTCACCTTTATTATCAAGTCCTGCCCCATACCCCATTGCAGTCACTGTCCATCAGTATAGTAAGATGCCACAGAGTCCCTATTTGTCTTCTCTGAGCTACACTGTCTTCCCCGTGACTCCGCACACACCATGTGCACTAATCATGATACCCCACAATCCCTTTCTCCCTCCCTCCCCACCGTCCTCCCCCACCCCTCCCCTTTGGTAACCACGAGTGCCTTCTTGGAGTCTGTGAGTCTGCTGCTGTTTTGTTCCTTCAGTTTTGCTTCATTGTTATACTCCACAAATGAGGGAAATCATTTGGTATTTGTCCTTCTCTGCCTGACTTATTTCACTGAGCGTAATACCCTCTAGCTCCATCCATGTTGTTGCAAATGGTAGGATTTGTTTCTTTCTTCTGGCTGAATAGTATTCCATTGTGTATATGTACCACCTCTTCTTCATTCATCTACTGATGGACACTGAGGTTGCTTGCATATCTTGGCTATTGTAAATAGTGCTGCAGTAAACATAGGGGTGCATATGTCTTTTTGAATCTGAGAAGTTGTTTTCTTAGGGTAAATTCCTAGGAGTGGAATTCCTAGGTCAAATGGTATTTCTATTTTTAGTTTTTTGAGGAACCTCCATATTGCTTTTCACAATGATTGAACTAGTTTACATTCCCACCAGCAGTGCAGGAGGGTTCCCCTTCCTCGGCCTCCTCACCAGCATTTGTTGTTCCTAGTCTTCTATGTTGGCCATCCTAACTGGTGTGAGGTGATACCTCATTGTGGTTTGCATTACCCTAATAATTAACAATGTGGAGCATCTTTTCATGTGCCTGTTGGCCATCTGAATTTATTCTTTGAAGAAGTGTCTGTTCATATCCTCTGTCCATTTTTAATAGGGTTATTTGCATTTTGGTTGTTGAGGTGCATGAGCTCTTTATATATTTTGGATGTTAATCGCTTGTCAGATATGTCCTTTACAAATATATTCTCCCATACTGTAGGATGCCTTTTTGTTCTGCTGATGGTGTCCTCACGAATTTGTACATCATCCTTGTGCAGGGGTCATGCTAATCTTCTCTGTATTGTTCCAATTTTAGTATATGTGCTGCTGAAGCAAGCATGGTTTTTACATTTTTAACTGAAATAAGATCAAAATAATAGTACTTGACAATGTACTCAAATTTCAGTGTTCATAAATAAACTTTTATTGGAATACAGCCATGCTCATCCATTTAGGAACTGTCTTTGGCAGCTTTTTCACTATAATGGGAGCAGTGAATAGTGGCCACTGACACTGGCTTGTAAAACCCAAAAGCATTAAAAAAAAAACCCCAAAGCATATACTATCTGGCTTTTTACAGAAAAAGTTTTCTGACTCAAGCTCTACAGTACACCAAGGAACTTCTGGTATTTCAACCCAGGATAGACTACCTTTGGGCACAGAAATCAGTCAAACAACCAAGGAAACTGTCAGAACCATTCTCAGCCCTTCAAACTCAAACATGGATTCCACAATCTCTGCTTAGTGGGCCAGTATCAATCCATTTGGCCTGGCCTAACTTTATATTCTTCCACTTTGATTCAATACCGTTAAAACTCATTTCCATCTATATTCCCTAGTTTTCTGTTGATATAAATTTGCAAGCTGAAAGTGGCTATTGTTTTGGTATTATACTGCACCTCCTCATGGGTCATATTTTGTACCTCGCCCTTTGCATTCTGTTGAGACTTGAGTCTAGTTATAGATTTTAGAAGTAAGAAGAAGTAGAAGGAGTAGGTTCTGAGGAGGATGAGCAGTAAGGCCATGACTGCGTCCGAGGTCAGGAAAAGCAAGAACAACCTAAGAACAACCTGGAAATACATAGCACAAGCTGGAGTCCATGAGGAGGGACCGACCCCTTGTCATTCTTATTGTCTCCGACCTCAGTGGGGTTGGGTGTCCAGTTGAAGCTGGGGCCTGTCACCGTGGGGCTAAACACGTACTGACCAGGGTTTGGAGAAGCTAAAGGAGGAACTGGGGGAGGTGGTGTGGCTACAGGCCTAGTTGATGCCTTACACTAAGGAGGTGAGTCATCAGACAAGTGACAACAGGTGTAAGCCACAGGATAGCTACAGTTTTAACCTCTACCCACAAATCTCCCATGAGACCTGATTCAGATCTTGTGGCCCATCCTAACCAGAAGTACACAGGGAGGGGAATTCTGGGAAATGTAGTTTAACTTAGCCAAGTGGACACATTACAAAACTACCTCCAGCAGGAGCTGGCACTCACTGACTCACCAACCTCCTTAGAAGCAAGCACACCTCACTGAAGCCAGCATTGGAAGTTCCTCCCAACACCCCAAGAAAAGCACAATTTAGCTTTTATGAAGAAAGCAAATTTCTTACAATTAATGTAATTTGGCCTTAATTCTTCCAGAACAAGAACCTTGTCAGTATTGTACTCAGGAGACTGGCCGCATTACAAGAGCCACTCCATTAGCACTTGGCAAGAAACCTCTTTCTTGATGTAAGGGGTGGAGGAGCAGGAGATTTCAGTTCGGATAATACACAACAGAGAAAGGTGTCTTATGCCAGAAGGGGTTTGGGTAGCAGATGAGCAGCCTTTTAAAAACATTGGAGGCACCATTGGAAAGATTTCTGGATGTCTTTTTCAAGTGTGATATTTGGTGTTCTGTCCCCTGGAGGTCTCAACAGGCTCCAGTCTTAAGAATTACCTTTTCTTTTCATATTTGAATAAAATAGCTTGAGCTCCATTCCATGACTTGGGAGAAGCTTAGCATTCTCCTCACCATATCAACAAATTCCTTAAGGCTGTTGTTTTCCCAGATAGTGTTCAGAGTGTCATGGATTCAGCTAAAAAGCTACATTTCTCAGTTTCTTTTTGAAGACAGAAACGGCCAATCGGAAGGAAGTACAAGTCTCTGAAAGAGTTCTGGAAATCCTTTTTTTTTTTAATCCTTTTTAAAAGGAGCCAATTCACCAAATGGTGCCTTCCCCCAGCCCAACCTTTTTTACCCCCCTTTTCTTTTTCTTACAATGTGACAAGATAGCTGAGATTCCTGCAAACATTTTGTGATTTTGAGGATTACAGCTACACGCTAAGGATGGCAGAGCCGTAAGTCAGTAGAACCCTGGTTCCTTATGAACTAAGGAGCCCCTTCCCCTGCCTTGGGCAACACACTTTAGAGTTCTGTTATAGGAGAAAAACATCACCTTGGTCAAGCCACTGTTTTTCTGGCTCATGTCTTTTACAGTTACAATTTCTGCTTCCAAAATTCTTGCTATGTGAGATAATACACTTCTTGTGGCAAGCTGTATCACCAATATCCAATTCCTTCCCTATAAGAAGACTAGTTTCCTGCCCTCTTAAACTCAAATGTGGCCATGTGATTTGCTTTGGCCAGCGAAATTTGAACAGAAATGATATGTGTCCCTACCTGGCAGAGGCTACAAGAACCACTGTATGTCTCACCTTATTCTCTTTTCTTTCTGTCAGTGATAACCAGAAATGTTTCTGATAATGGCTTCTCCATCAGCTCAGGTCATATTGTAGCTCCCAACTGACCCATGACGGACACGCAGTGACTGAGAAACAAACCTTTATTGTAAGCTATGGAGATTTTTAGATTATTACTGTCAATTTTAAGCAAAAATGGGCTGGCTTGATATAGGGAATTAGGAGCTGACAAGCTCTTTGGAAAGGCTAGTATTGTGGGCTCCAGGCTAAGACTTTGCAAATGATTCTCAAAATGTGACCATAAGGAACAACTCACTCCTCCTCCTGCATTTCTACTTTGTGCTCAAACATTTCTGATACCAGATGCATGTATTTTTTTCCCCACCAAACAAGTCCCTGTGACACCAGCTGGGTGTCCTACAGTACAGTTCAACTCTGACACTGACCGGAGTTGGTGCAGACCCCACAGGTTAAGGGCTCAGTCCCACAAGGCTGCTCCCACTTTGGATGCCAGTCACTAGGAGGTCTCTGTGTTCCCCATAACTTCTGTCTGACTTGGCTACAATGGAGGTTCCCATGACTGTTCCCCCCACCTTGGATTCCATGATGTGCTGAAATAGCTCACAGAACACAAATAAACACATTTACCAGTTTATTATACAACAAAGGATATCATAAAGGACACAAATGAACAGGAACATGAAGATACATTCCAAGGTCTGGAAGAGTCCCGAGCTCAGGAGCTTCAGCCCCCGTGGAGCTGGGGTGTGCTGTCCTCCTGGTGTGTGGATGTGGTCACCAACCTGGAAGCTCTCTGAACCCTGTACTTTTGGGGATTTTTATGGAGGCTTCATCATGTAGGGATGATTAACCATTAACTCAATTTCCAGCCCCTCTCCTCCTCCTGAAGGAGGAGGAGTGGGGCTAAGATTTCCAAGCTTCTAATCATAACTGGGTCTTCCCGGTGACCAGCGCCCATCCAGGAGCCTGCCAAGTGGGCCTCATTAGAATGAAAGACAATCCTATCACCCAGGGAAGTCCAAGGGATTTAGGCTCCCTGTACCAGAAACTGGGGTCAAGGACTAAATATCAGAACAAAAGATGCTCCTAGCAACACTTCCACTCAGGGGAGTACAAGAGTTTTAGGAGCTGTGAGTCAGCAACTGGAAGCAAAACCCAATATACATATTTTCTGTTATTTCACAATGACTGAACCACCTCCCCTGGGAGCTTCTCCCTCCACCCCAATTGGGAGGCCCACTGTATGCAACACCTTCAGAATCCTGTAGCTCTATCTCTGACCCAGGACGTGGGAGTCATCATCACCCCCCAAGACATAACTGCTTTTTTTTTGTTTTCAGTTTTGTTGTGCTTTGTGTTTAGGTATAACGTTCATGTAGTAAAGTGTGCAAGGCTTAAATATTCAGTTCAATCTGTTCTGACCGACATATACATCCATGTAATCTGCACCACCATCGGGGTATAGAATATTTTGATCCTCCATGAAAATTCCCTCAGGCCCATTCTCAGTCACCCCATCCATTGTAGAGGCAACATAATAGCAGTAGAGGCAACTCCTATGCTGACTTCCTTCACCATCAATTCATTTTGCTCATTCCACAACTTCACATAAGTGGAACGGTGCCATCTGCACTCTTTTGTGTCTGGCTTCTTTCACCCAGGACAATGTTTTTGAGTTTTGTCAAAGTATTGTGTGGACCTGTAGTCCTTGTTATAGCTGAGTAGTATTCCTTTAAACACATATGCCACAGTTTGTATCCACTCACCTATGCTGCAGGACATTTAGGATGTTTCCAGTTTTTTGCTGTTACAAACATTCATGTACAAGTCTTTGTGGGGACATCTGGGTTCCTTCCTTTTGGAGAGAGATTTAAGAACTGAATTGCTGGGCCATACCTTAAGTGCACCTTTACCATTTAAAGAAACTGACAAGTTTTCTAAAGTGATTGTACCAATTTACAACCCAGTTTACAGCAATGTATGACAATTCTGCTTGCTCCACATCCTCTCCAGCCCTTGGTATTGTTAGTCTTTTTAATTTTAGCCATTCTGTGTGTGGTCATTTCTGAGTCTGGTTTTCACTTATTTTCCACTCTTAACTAATGATATTGAACATCTTTTCATGCGTTTATTGGCCTTTTAGATATCCTCTTGTGTGTGTGCATAACTGCCTCTGAATGCCCACAGGGCTAGCAGCTGGACACTGGAATGGCATGGACAACTCATCACCTTCACAACCATGCTGGTCAGCAGAAAACAGCTAATTAGGCAGAAAGAAAGTCTCTTGGCCCTCCAGATCTCTTAGGGATCACTAATTAGCAGAGCTGACTCCACATCCAGAAACCCATTTTCAGGGGCATCTAGGAAACATAGCATTAACTTTTTCTCCTCTACTCCACAGGGAGATTGAATGGGGTTGGGGGATGGACACTGAGTGCCAATCTCCTAATCAGCCCTGCGGTGGGTCAGCACTGCCCTTATTCTGCCCTGGAGGCAGCTGGGTATTCCACTGAGCTGGTGATTCCTCAAGTCCAGGCTGTGCTCCAGTGGTGATCCATGAGATGTTCTTGGGCCCCAAACAATATAAATCACATTGAGTCACATTACAAGAGAGTAAATCACTTTCTGAATCTTTTAATCCATCAAATGATACGAGGGAAGAAGGATCTATGCCGTAAAGAATTAAACTTTACTAAACAGAAGTCTAGTTGTGGCCTCAGCTCCCAGAAGGGGATCTCTGAGCCCCTGGAGTGTCCTGCCTGAAGAGCACTTTGTTTACCTGGCAACCTGGGCCACCCAGATAGTTTCTAACAGTGGGACTGATGGTAGGGGCTTTGCACCACAGGTATTGGCTCAACCTCCGGAGGAGACAGTCACCAGGGTGACCACATGGGTGGTGAGTCGTGTCTTTGTGATGAGCTCCAATAAAAGCTCTGGACATCAAAGCTTGTAGGCGCTTCCCTGGTTGGCAGTACTCTGTGTATAATCACACAGTTTTGCTGGAACTCAGCACTGCCCACTGCTTCCCCGGGAGAGAACAACCGGAAGCTTCATGCTTGAAACTCTCTTAGACTCTGCCCCACGAGTCTCTTTCCTTAGCTAATTCCAATCTGCTTCCTTTCATTGTAATAAACCATAACGATGAGTACAACAGCTTTCCATGAGTTTCATGAGTTTTTCCAGTGAATTATTATTGAACCCATAGGTGGTCTTGGTGGTCTGTTCGAACTTGCAGTTGGTGTCAGAAGTGAGGGTAGTCTTGGGCCTCCCCAACTTTGCAGTGTCTTTGGGCAATAAGGTAACAATCACACCCCTGACACTGACTGTCTCCTCTGAGGCTCAGAGCCCTTGGCCAGCAGGGCAGTGTGCAGCTAAAATGCAATATATCATTTTCCTTGTTTGTTTTCATTGGATTTATCTTTATAACTATCCTCTATTTATATGAAGCAATACTGGTTTTCCATATATGAGTGTGTCTTTTAAAATAAGTTTATTTAAGTTACAAATGGAGGTGATTTCTCAAAAAAGTGAGTATTAACACAGGCAGTATGAAAATGTGGCAGAAATTGAAAAGAGGATACATAGCATGATATTATTTGTGATACACTCTGGTATCTCCTCTTCCATTGTGTTACTTCTTTCTCTTTCCTCTTTATGCTACTCACAGCCCTCTAAACTGATTTTGTAACCCATGAATAGGCTGTGACCTCAAATTTGTTAAACATTGTCATGCAACCACTGTGAAGAGGACCTTGTCTCTTTACTTTGGCATAATGACCCTTAAACCTGGGGAGTGGCCCTTACCCCAAGCCCTGAGCTTCAGAGGGCCTGGTCTGGCCAGATCTCACTGAGCCCTTCTCCAAGGGCTGCAGAACCCAAGAGTCCCCCAGGAAGTACCTGCCAGAGCCTGTGCCCCTTTTCACCCATGCTCTGGGGCCCTGAGATTCCCTGCCCAACCTGCTCTGCGTCCACTTCAGGGCTGATGTGACCTTCCTGGTGGGTATACCCCTAAACCAAAAGGCAGTCATTTGTGGGTTGGGGGTATGGATGGAGGTCGGATGTGCAGCCTGGAGTGTCCATACTCATGTGTATGTTGGAGGAACCCTGAATGTGAAGAAGAGGGCCACTGGTGTGTCCAGGACCTCCATTTGTGCTTGCCCAGTTCCCTGCCATCTACCAATGCTAGGGACAAGATGGCATTGGGCACAGGGTTCTGTGCGTGGACACGCTGGGGCTTTCACACTGCCTGGGCAGAATCCTGTGCTGATCCTTTCACTGGGCAGAGTCCTTGCCTCCCCCAGTCCCATCTCCCTCATCCCAGGATGGCTTGTTCACTGAATCCCCTGCCCTGTCTTTGGAGTTTGGACAACTCATCACCTTCACAACCATGCTGGTCAGCAGAAAACAGCTAATTAGGCAGAAAGAAAGTCTCTTGGCCCTCCAGATCTCTTAGGGATCACTAATTAGCAGAGCTGACTCCAAATCCAGAAACCCATTTTCAGGGGCATCTAGGAAACATAGCATTAACTTTTTCTCCTCTACTCCACAGGGAGATTGAATGGGGTTGGGGGATGGACACTGAGTGCCAATCTCCTAATCAGCCCTGCGGTGGGTCAGCACTGCCCTTATTCTGCCCTGGAGGCAGCTGGGTATTCCACTGAGCTGGTGATTCCTCAAGTCCAGGCTGTGCTCCAGTGGTGATCCATGAGATGTTCTTGGGCCCCAAACAATATAAATCACATTGAGTCACATTACAAGAGAGTAAATCACTTTCTGAATCTTTTAATCCATCAAATGATACGAGGGAAGAAGGATCTATGCCGTAAAGAATTAAACTTTACTAAACAGAAGTCTAGTTGTGGCCTCAGCTCCCAGAAGGGGATCTCTGAGCCCCTGGAGTGTCCTGCCTGAAGAGCACTTTGTTTACCTGGCAACCTGGGCCACCCAGATAGTTTCTAACAGTGGGACTGATGGTAGGGGCTTTGCACCACAGGTATTGGCTCAACCTCCGGAGGAGACAGTCACCAGGGTGACCACATGGGTGGTGAGTCGTGTCTTTGTGATGAGCTCCAATAAAAGCTCTGGACATCAAAGCTTGTAGGCGCTTCCCTGGTTGGCAGTACTCTGTGTATAATCACACAGTTTTGCTGGAACTCAGCACTGCCCACTGCTTCCCCGGGAGAGAACAACCGGAAGCTTCATGCTTGAAACTCTCTTAGACTCTGCCCCACGAGTCTCTTTCCTTAGCTAATTCCAATCTGCTTCCTTTCATTGTAATAAACCATAACGATGAGTACAACAGCTTTCCATGAGTTTCATGAGTTTTTCCAGTGAATTATTATTGAACCCATAGGTGGTCTTGGTGGTCTGTTCGAACTTGCAGTTGGTGTCAGAAGTGAGGGTAGTCTTGGGCCTCCCCAACTTTGCAGTGTCTTTGGGCAATAAGGTAACAATCACACCCCTGACACTGACTGTCTCCTCTGAGGCTCAGAGCCCTTGGCCAGCAGGGCAGTGTGCAGCTAAAATGCAATATATCATTTTCCTTGTTTGTTTTCATTGGATTTATCTTTATAACTATCCTCTATTTATATGAAGCAATACTGGTTTTCCATATATGAGTGTGTCTTTTAAAATAAGTTTATTTAAGTTACAAATGGAGGTGATTTCTCAAAAAAGTGAGTATTAACACAGGCAGTATGAAAATGTGGCAGAAATTGAAAAGAGGATACATAGCATGATATTATTTGTGATACACTCTGGTATCTCCTCTTCCATTGTGTTACTTCTTTCTCTTTCCTCTTTATGCTACTCACAGCCCTCTAAACTGATTTTGTAACCCATGAATAGGCTGTGACCTCAAATTTGTTAAACATTGTCATGCAACCACTGTGAAGAGGACCTTGTCTCTTTACTTTGGCATAATGACCCTTAAACCTGGGGAGTGGCCCTTACCCCAAGCCCTGAGCTTCAGAGGGCCTGGTCTGGCCAGATCTCACTGAGCCCTTCTCCAAGGGCTGCAGAACCCAAGAGTCCCCCAGGAAGTACCTGCCAGAGCCTGTGCCCCTTTTCACCCATGCTCTGGGGCCCTGAGATTCCCTGCCCAACCTGCTCTGCGTCCACTTCAGGGCTGATGTGACCTTCCTGGTGGGTATACCCCTAAACCAAAAGGCAGTCATTTGTGGGTTGGGGGTATGGATGGAGGTCGGATGTGCAGCCTGGAGTGTCCATACTCATGTGTATGTTGGAGGAACCCTGAATGTGAAGAAGAGGGCCACTGGTGTGTCCAGGACCTCCATTTGTGCTTGCCCAGTTCCCTGCCATCTACCAATGCTAGGGACAAGATGGCATTGGGCACAGGGTTCTGTGCGTGGACACGCTGGGGCTTTCACACTGCCTGGGCAGAATCCTGTGCTGATCCTTTCACTGGGCAGAGTCCTTGCCTCCCCCAGTCCCATCTCCCTCATCCCAGGATGGCTTGTTCACTGAATCCCCTGCCCTGTCTTTGGAGTCTGTGAGCCTCACGTGGCTTCTCAGGGGTCTGTCCACAGCCACTGCTGCTTCCTTCCACTCCCGGTCATGAATGATCAGAGACCAGGACAGGGACCACGGCACTTTACTTGTTGTCTGAACAGATGGATAACTTGGGGGGCAGTGCCTGGGGAGCTGGGCAGCTTTCAGGGAGGGCAGGGCTGGGAGCGCAGGGGGCTCGGGCCGTCAGCTCCATCCATGTCTTCCCGCTCAGGCTGGGCTTTAACTATCCTGTAGGTTCTGCTGGGGAACCAGGACGCCGGGCACAGTGAGCGTGGGGGCCTGGTCATGGGGGCCCCAGAGGAATTCAGCTGCCACTTGTGATGTACTCACCTGTCATAATTCCAGCATAATCGGGGCAACCGACTACACTTGCCACCTGTGGGTGAAGGAATGGTTCAGTCATGAGTGGGAACAATATGGATTATTGTGTGCACTCTGGGTGCTGAGAACCAGGCCCACCAACCCTGCCCCTCGGAAAGTTCCAAGGCAACTCTGAGCAAGCGAAGAGAGGCAGACAGAAGAGCTGACGCAACAACCCCAAGGAGGAGCTTCCCACGCACACCCATTCTAAGCATGTGTGCTATTCATTCATTCTGCAGATATTTACTGTGCACCTACTATGTGCCAAATACTGATCTAGGCACTGGAAGCACAGCTGGGAACAAGAAGGAGTAAAACCCCTGCCCAGTGGAGCTGACTTTCTAGTGGGGGCCAACAATGAGGGAAGTAACCAAGTCAAGCGTGCTGATTGTGACAAGTCAGATGGGTGCTACAAAGGAAAATAAAGCCAGAAGGAGGCAGGGGGGCCCAGGAGCTAGGCCATCTTCGAGGCAATGACCACAGGGGATTCACTGAAGAGGTTGACGTTTGAGCAAAGACCTGAAGGAGGTGAGCAGGAGCCTGTGAACATGTGGAGGCAGGGTGTTCTAGGCAGAGGGAACAGCAGAGCAGAGGCCCTGAGGTAGGAGGCAGACAGATGGGCTTAGGAGATAGCAGCAAGCCAGGGGGCTGGAATAAAGTGAGTGAGGGGGAATCGCAGAAGACAAAGATGCCTCCTTGACTCCTTCCTCTCCTCTCCTGTTCACGCTGCCCCAGCCACCCGGCCTCTTCCCAAGGTCACTGCGATATGCTCCGCTCATCCCTGCCGTGGAGCTTTGCACTTGCTGCTCCCCATACTAGTTTCTTAATCATCTTTCCCACCACTGGGAATCAGTTCTGATTTTCCTCTTTAGAGGGAGCGTCTCTCCAGTCCCTCTCAGGCTCATCATTCTGCTTAATTTTCCTCCCCATAATGATCTTTGTACCCCATCTGCTCAATAACGCACTTACCTGTTCATTGTCGTCCCCCTAGTTATGTGAACTCCCCTAGGGTGGGGAGCGGGCCATGCCCCAGCATCCCAGCACAGGCCGGGCACAGAGTAGGTGCCCACAAGCATTTGTCACTGGAGCAATTTGCGGCCCCGGAGCTAATGTCCAGGATCTGCCCTCACACATTGGACCTGCATCCAATCTTCCCCGATCCTTATGTGCTGTGTGACCTTAGGCAAGCTCAACCCTCAGAGCCTCACTTTTCCCACAGGGGTAAGAATAGGGCCTAGCACAAAGTCAGGATCAATAAATACATGTTGGTTGACCTAGGCAACAGTGCTCGACCCCTAGATTTTGTGAGATTCAGGCACACATTAGCAATCTCTTTTCATTATTGTCAGTATTCTGCCTTCCACCTTAACACAAAAAAGATGTGGCTGTGCCCACCTGCCTGATGAAGAAGTTGGACAAGGGAGGTGATGAAACTTGGCATGGGTCACACAGCTTAACTGAGGGCTGGCAAGTTGGTGCCCCTCATGTTTAACTTAATCTGCAGCTTTTAAAAACTGTTTAAAAATTAGTTTCTCTGCTTATTATTCGTCCTTGGCCCCCTTCTCTGTGTGGTGGATCTACAATAAAGCAGTGGCTGGAAACCACGTCGTGGGGCCACAGCTCCTGCCAGGGGCCCCTCTTACAGTTCCACCTCTTCCCAGATGCTGGACCGACCGTTACCTCCCCTCACCCCTTTGGGCTGGGATGATCACATCTCCCCTCTGTTGCTAGTCCTGGGGGGCCACACTACCCCCTTACCCACCACCACTGGGTGAACCCCAGGACAGCCTTCTGGGGGATAAGACCACAGCAGAAGAACGAAGGTGCCCACACAAGCAGAGCTCCCCGCTGCCCTGCAGATGACCTCAGGCGCATGGATAAATCCAGCTACAACCTGAACCACCCAGCTGAGCTCAGCCTACATTTCCAAATGGCAGAATTGAGAGCTAAGTAATTGGTTGTCATTTTAAGCCATTGAAATCAGGGGTGGTTTGTATGGATACATAATAACAGATATGCCTCCTTTAAAGCAACCTTGCCCAGGAGCCTTCAAGAACCTCTCCTCCATCAGCAGGAAAGCCAAGGACCCTCCTCCCAGTCTCAGCGCCCCTCCTGCCCAGCCCGTTCTCACTGGTGAGGATGAAGATGCCTGTGATGAACAGCACAGCTGCCACCAACAGCCCCCGCTTCCGGAGAGCGTCCTCATCTGCGCAGAGAAAGACAGAGGAATCCGGTGAGGGGAGACCTTCACCCGTCCTCCCCCACACCCTCCCAGGTGTGACTTACCATAGGAGAAGGGGTTGTCCTCACTCGCACCTGGGGGGACACACAGGGAGCCAGTCAGCATTCAGCACGGGTTAATGGAGTGAAGCAGTGAATGGCAGAGTAAGGCAGAGAGGACACTCAGAATAAAACCCAAAGTCCTCCTGTGGTCCCCACCACCCCTCTACTTACCTCCTCACTCTCCCCCTCATTCATGTGCTCCAGCCCCACTGGCCACCCTGCTGGTGACCACACCAACCCCTTCTCACCCCAGGGCCTTTGCACTGGCTGCTTCCTCTGCTTGGAGCACCCTTGCCCAGACACCCACATGGCTGCCCCTCAGCTCCTTCCAGTAAAAAAATACTCCCAGTCACTCTCTAACCTGAACGCTGCTGTATTTTTTTTATAGCAACTTAAAACTACCTGATACATAATTATGATGATTATTTGTCTCTCTCTCCCTTACTAGAATGTCTGCTGAGAGAAGAGATTTTTGTCTATCTTGTTCACTGCTGTATCCCTGATACCTAGAATAGTGCCTGACACACACAGTAGGTGCTCAATAAATGTTTCCGAATGAATCAATAAATGAATGAATGGACTCTCTGTGTGACGCAGGGCCATATCATTTCCATCCATTTGTTGTGGTTGGCTGAGCAGGAAGTGGAAGATAAGACCACGAGGGGAAGAATCAAGGTGTCCCTGGAAACAGAGACAGAGTTCCACACCTCCCCAAACTGACCTCAGATGCATGAGTACATGTGAGACCAGAAGAACCACCCAGCTGAGCCGAGACTAAACATCCAAACTGCAGATTTGACAGCTAAAAAAATGGTTGTCATTATAAGCTGCTGAGCTTTGGGGTGGCTTGCATGTAGCCTGCATTCATTCATGTATTCAGACATTTATTGTGTGTCTACCCTGTGTCCACTCTCTGCCAGCCCTGAAGTGCTATATTCACCAAACACATGCTTAATGAGGATTGTTCTGCACTGGGCAGTATTCCAGGGGCTAGAAATACAGAGTGAACAGGAAACAGCCTGTTTTCAGCCCAGGAAGGGAACTACTGACCAGTCGGCTTGAGGGCAGGGTCCGTCCTGACATCTCTTCCCGAGGTTTGCCTCTTGGAGGATGTGGTGCCTTTAGTGGGATCGGCAGACAGAGAGGCTAGATGATGGAGGAGGGCAGGAGTGAGCCACGGAGGGAAAGAAGGGGCATCAGGAAATGCCCGTATCCGAGAGGAACCGCTCGCCTGCACCCACACATTAGGGGCCAGGCACAGGCTTCCCCCACTCCTGAGACAGCAAGGAATGGCAGGTATGGCAACACTGAAATAAGCCTGACAATAGAACGGCCCAACCCCTTCCTAGGCCCTCCTAGACCACCTCATAACTACGTCTGTTCTAACCAGGCAAGAGGGCCTTCAGGACCCTGGCCCAGTTACAGAGCCTGGAGATACTTGCTTTGAGACGTTTGAATATCACCTCTGCTCCCAGACCAAAAATACTGGAGTTGTTCCTCTCTTTAAAAAATCAATGCCCCGAAGAAAAGACCTGCCCCTCTGATACTTACAAGTGTCCGCAGTGAAGTGGTCACCCCTGTCTGATGCCCCAGTGGGAAGCCAGCAAGCAGAAAAGCTGCCTCATGAACCCCAAGTTGCCTAGGCCAATCTCAGCACCTCACCTCCTAACTATAATCTGATAGCCAAGGACTATGAGACGTTCAGGGAAGCCTTGCCCAGAGGAGGTGTGAGTAAGATCAACAGCAGGGACCAAGCTGCAGAAACCACAGCAAATGAAAAGGACAACTAGATGCTGTGTGGTGCTCAGGCATCCTGGCACTAGACTGCCTGGGCTCACATTCCAATTCTGTCTCTCTGGGCTGTGTGGCCTAGGGCCAACAGAGAAACCTCTCTGGGCCTCAGTTCCCTTCCCTGTACAATGGGGTTATGGGACATTCCCACCACATATAGTGACTGTGAACACTGGATGAGTGAATACGTGAAAGCTTAACACAGTGCCTGGCGTGGAGCAGAGTCTCTGTAACAAGTCCCCTTCCCCAAGACACTTGAATTCCATTTGTTGTAAAATTGTTTTGATAGAAAGACTCTGTCAAGATGATATGTTCTACTGCTGTCACTTGAAAATGTAACAATTATGGAAGTCTACAAGGAATGACCGGGTCTTAGAGGTGGTGTTCTCATCCATACACCTGTGCATGCATCTCAGCCTGGGAGAGGCCCAAGCTACATTACTTTCCAGTAGGAGCTGCTCCTCAAATATGGATCGTCATGCAGTCTTTAGAGGCCACCTGTTGCCTGACTCTTGGCTCAGCCCCCTTTCCCACAGCTCTGGTAACATTAACTACTCACTGGTCCTGAGGGTAGTCACCTCTTCTGAACCTTGGTCTGCGCAGTTCAGGAATGGCTGACCCAGTTCTCCATCATCAGGATGGGGGCACAAGACTTAGACCTGAACAATCAGTGTGGTCCATTTCCCAGGCTCCCACAGGTCAGACATGGGCATGTGACTCCAACTCGGCCAATGAGAGTCAATTTCAAGGCCTTGGGCTGGAGATAAGGAGCCAAGTGTGCTCCAGCTGCTGAGTTTATGACCTGAACTTAAAACTATGGGACCATCTTTGCCACCAAGAGGGGAAAAGCTGCTAGAGAATGAAGACAGCAGAGCTGAGAGAGGGAGCAAGTCAGTCATGATCATAAGCTTGGGGTCCTTGATCCAACTATGCCTGAAACTGTAGCTCTGGACTTTATGGAACATATATAGCCAATAAATCTTTTTTTTTAAAGATGGGTTTTCTGGATTTTGTATGAAAAAGTCCTTCTCTAATAAGAAGACATACACAAAGGAAATGCCCACAGTCACATTTCCTGTCACCAGTTCCTGAAGGAACCTGAACAAAAGAGGATCCCGAGCATCTCAGGCTTGGAAAACACTGCATACCCAATGCTCCTCTTGGGAATATTTGCCGCAAATAAGCTTTATTAAGACTTCCGAGAAGTCCCACCCTAAAGAAACATGCTTAACTTTAACTCAGAGTTTCCCAAATACCTTTCACAACAAATTTAAAAAAATTTTTTTGAAAATGTATTAACAATTCCCTAAACGGGCGCACTGAGAAACATGCTTGGGGAAATGCTGACCCACATCAACAATTAAACAAAACTGCGATGTTGCTGGGCTATCGCAGGCTCTACCTGCCGTGCTGCTCCGGTCCGTCTGTGGATGTGTTGCCAGGTGCATATCTGTTCCCACCGGGTGCTGGGACTGGGTCTCCTTCTCCACTGGGCTCTGTGTTGTTTCTACTCAGGTCAGAAAAGCAAGGAGGGAGGCTAAGAAACCAGGGACATGCAATCCCTAAACCAGCAAGGGGCCCTCTCTCCATCTCAGGCTGGCAAAAATCAAAGACATTCATGGACCGAGTGTCGCTGTAGAAGTGGGAATGGGGGACTTTCTCACATCGCTGGTGGCAGGGCAAACCCGTGCAGCCATTCCCCAAGTGGCTTTCAAAAGAAATTTCAGTGTTTGTGTCCTTTGTTGCAGAGCGTTGGCAGGAAAAGCCAGGCTCTAGCACCAGGTTCCTTACTGGACCCCAATCCCCACAGTGTCACTTAGTTGCTGTGACACTTTGACTGACTTATGCTGAGCCTCTGTTCTCTTATCTGTAAAAAGTGGGGACAATGCTCCTTTCTACCTCAGAAGCTTTGGGTGAGTATTGATTGAGTGAACATGGGTAAAATACTTAGAACCATGACCAATACATAGTAAGTGCTCTAACAGTTTGCTCAAGGAGGAGGGGACAGGTTGCTCAGAGTGGCACTGTGTGTAACAGAAAAGACTGGAAGCAACCAAGATGCTCATCAAGCTGTGTGTAGCTTCCTTAACTATGCACGGGAACCCCACAAATACCACGCAGCACTGAAGAAGGAGATCAGTATTTACATAGGAATGTGGGAAAGGCTTCCAAATATATTGCATGGGGGGAGAAAAGTGCAAGTTGCAGACCAATCAGAGAACATCCTTCAGGCCACACAAACATACCTCCCAGTCAGTGGCTTTTCTCCAGGTAATGCACATGTGCTACAGTATCATTGGGGAACTACTCCCAATGCTAACAGTGGGGATCTCTCAGAGATGGGGGAGAGAACAAGGACGGGGAATGGACAAAGGGATTTCATCTCACCTACAGTATTTTTTTTCCCAAGGAGAATGTGTATTTATGGACTACTGTATCATTAAACATTAATGGAAAACTTTGGGGAGCACTTTTTGAATATGTTATACTTTAAGAAAAACTTAAAAAATAATTTGAAAATTCAAAAAAGGAACAACATAAGAGTTGAAAAGGAGAAATGAAAGGGGTTTGCCCATGGGGAGCTCCTGGGGTGTTTGCAAAGCTCTATTCCTTGACCTGAGTGGTGGCTACACAGGGGTTCAATTTAGAGTGATTTGTTAAGTTGTACCTTTATGGTTTTGTACTTTTATATGGATTATTTTTCACAATGTCAAAAGATTTTGTTTTTATGAAGTAGATGGGGTTGGCTAGCTGCCCCACAATAAAGTAAACCAGGGGATTCAGAGTTGGGAGGCTGAAATGGGTAACCAAGGACCCAGGGTGTCAGAGGAAGATGGGGAATGGTGACTTTCCCAGATCCACCTCCCCACCCCCTCCCCCTGCCCCACTCACCACCGGTCTGCAGAGGTGAGGACTGAGGGGTGGACTGGAGTTCTGGGTGGATGGTGTCTTAGTCCGGAAGCAGGGTGAGAAGAGAGAAATGCAGAGGGGCCATGGATGAAGGGTACAGGGGGATTTCCATAGCAACTCAACTTGATGTCATGTAAATGACTTAATTAAACCAACCATTTGCTAGTTGCCCAAATGAGATGTCAGTGTTTCCTCTGCCTCAGGCTCTTCTTACTGATACCCCTTCCCCTACTCAGCTGGTTTCTGGTAAGAGTCCCAGGAATTTCCTTTGAGGGACAATCTTTCCCTGACTCCCAGCGGGCTGGCACCAGCCCTGTTGGAGGTTACACATGACACCCAGGTCTGACGATCGGCTTTCTGTACCCTAACCCTAACCCACATGACCACAATGATCACCTCAGGGGTGGGCATGTGACCTGAGCCTAGCAATGACACTCAGTTCTGGGACATTTGCTGGATTGAGGAAGAGAGAATTATTTTTACTCCGGGTTCTTAGCAGATCAGATGGAAGCCCCAGGTCTCTAGGGACCATCTTGGCTATATAAAAAGAGAATCTGCCTGAAACGAAGCCAACACCGAAAAAACAAAACAAGAGATAGAGACAGCTTCTTGACAGCACTATTTGAGCACCTATATCAAGCCATGCCTGAAAGTCTATCCTTGGACTTTTCAGTTACACAAATCCGAAACTTCCCATTTGATCCAAGCTTGAGATTTTTGTTGCTGTTGTTATTTGCAATGACAGGATCTTGACAGACCTCACCTGTTGGTCTTTCCTCACCTGACACTCGAGTCAGGGCATGAATGTTCCCAGTTACTGGGTCTGCTGAAGAACTGGGTGTGGCCCCCTCCAAAATCTGTCCTGGGAAATCAAGGATGAGAAGTCAAGGAAGAGCCTCTGATCCCCCCTCTCTCCCCAATACTGCTACCCTACACTCCCTTCTAAAACTGTGGTGAGTAGTCCTGGAGGTCTGCTGGTGGCAATAGCAGGCAGATGTTTGATTGACCAGTGTTGTGCTATCAATCCAGGACCCTGGAAGTGTTTTTAGAAGTGCTAATGCCCCAGCACCCTTCCTCTAGCTCCCGCGTCCTACCCATCCTGGTGCAACGGGAGAGGCAATTTAGCCTGGCGAGCCCAGGTGCTGGCATCAGCCAGGGGCCTTGATCTCAAATTCTTCTCCCAACAAGTTCCTCACTACGTGACCTAGAGCAAATGAAGTGCCATCTCTGAGACTCAGCTGCCTCATCTGCAAAGAGGAAATGATAATTGAATCTACTTTTCAGGGCCACATAGATGAGATGAAATGGATGGAGGGGGAAGGGTCTCTCTCACTGATTAACATGTAGGTGCTGAATACAGCCACTGCCCCGCCCTGGCCCCGCCCCCAGCCTCTCCAGCCTGTACCTTACTGAGGCTCCTCTCCTGCCTCCCTTCCCCCGCCCCCGGCCCCACCCCCACCCCCTAAGTCTGCTCTCCACCTGCAATGAGGGAACCTGTGAACCCTTGGTCAGGTCAGGGCCTTGCTGGCTTAGAGCCCCCACTGGCTTCACCTTCTCCAAGGAAAAGCCAAAGTCCTCACTGGGCCCAGAGGTGCCCCCTCAATCTGGTCCCCTGTCATCCCTCTGACCTTCCCCCCTGCCCCATGTTCTTTTCCACCCAGCTACTTGGCCTGCCTGCCGTTTCTCACACTCCCCAGACAGCATTCAACCCCCGATACCTGCTTGGCTCTTCCCTCATCAACGTCAAGTGTCTGCCCCAATGTCATGCGCCAGGAGGTCTCCCCTGACCACCCTGTTTAAACAATCCCCGTGACTCTCGTCTATTTTTCTCCATAGTACATATCACCTTCTAGCATACTGTATAATTTACTGATGGACTGGTTACTGGCTGTCTTTCCAACTAGAATGAGAGCTCCCATTTTGTGCATCACTGCTTGCCCAGCGCCTAGAATGAGGTACTTGTTGAATGACTGAAAGCATACACGAAAATCATTTTGTCAAGGAGGAACAGGGGAGCTTCAGTGGAGAGCCTGCTCTGCCTTCTGGGGGACAGACAGGATGCCTGAATCCCAGTCTTTCTACTCATCAGCCCCTCCCTTCACTGAGCCTATTTCCTCATCTGTAAAATGGGCATGACAGTACGTACACTAGAGGAGCTGAAGCTGCAATGCGCTCCCGCACCCAGCACTGGCAAAAGGCCCCCAGGAAACCTCTCCCCTCAGGAAACCCCTCCCAGACAGTGGGGAGATATCTCCCACTCTTGGGCTGGCCCCAACTAACCCCTTTGCCTAATCATGTTTCACCCCGGGATCCAGTGTGCTGCTTTACTAGGAGCCCAGGGCTCCTGGCTGCCTAGTAGAAAGCTGATACCCATCTCCCCGCCAAACCAAACTCAGTGCGTTCTTCTTGGAGGTGAAATGGAGGAAGCTCAGCAGGACAGGCTCCGGCCAGACTCGTTGGAAGCGGCCGTGCAGGTCTGAGGTGCTCAAAGAGGGCGTAACCCCGGCCTCCTCACCAGGACCCCCACTCCCTAGTGCTGGCTCGGTAGTGAGGGAGGCCACAGGAAGGGCATCCAGACCCACCGGCTGCCCACCCAGCAGTGTGCTCAAGGCAGGGCTGGGGGCACTGGGGCCAGGTGGAGAGGAGAGCTGGGCCTTACCTCTGGTGAGGAGAACCAGGCCAATAATGGTGAGGAGACACAGGCGGCCAGCGGGCGACATCTGTGGGGCGAGGTGGAGCTGGGGTCAGCCATGATGTCGGTGAGGCCGGCCCAGGGCAGCAAACCCCCGCCCCGGGGGGACCCTGCAGCACCCCTCCTACCCTGAGCAGGCACCTCTGGCTCCAAGGACCCCCTGCCAGGGCTAAGAGCTGACTGCAGGGGCAGAGGGAGGGTCTCAGGACTGGGGGGTCCCCAGCCACCACCCCCTTCTTCCCTTTGCTGGTCCCCAAAGAGAACAGGAAGCATCCGCTCAAACCGGGCTTCCAATAGCAGCCACTGCACAGAGCCACCCTTGACGCAGAGAAGCACTTACCTGCCAGCACTGACCCCACAGGGCACGGAGGAGAGGTCTGGGGCACAAGAGTAGATCGGGGGCATGGCCCCTCCCCCTGGGGCTGTCCCCAGAGCTGAGGAATCAGCAAGGAGGGGTAAAGAGGAAGAATGAGTAATGTGCTCCTGACCTCTGAGGAAAAAGTGAGTTTGCGTTAGGGGCCTCAGTGCAGAGACAATAGGACAGGATGCCGGCAGATCTGGGAGGGACTAGTCTGAGAGGGATGGAGGCGAGCCGGGGAGACTGAGGCAGGAGGGGGCAAAGCCGAGCGGCCCGACAGGCAGGCGGAGAGAAGCAGGCAAGCCTGGGAGGCGGAGGGGCTCTGAGAAGTTCAGCCTTTACCCACCTGAGCTGGGCCCCTGGGCAGAGGGGAGGGGGCAGGAGGGACTTACGTCAGAGCTGGGGTCAGAGCTGGGGTCCGAGCCTGCAGCCTCGGGGAAGGAGGGCGGCGGGGTAGCCGAGTGCAGGCGGAGGGTGTGGCCAGGGGAGCGCTGGCGGGCGGGGACGAGACCGGCTCAGTCATTTCCTCCAGGGTTTCCTGGCCTCAGAGCCCAGGGTGGGAGCAGGAGGGGGAGACGCCGAGGGCCATGGGGGCAGGGGTGAGGGCAGGCAGTGGCCCGGGGGAGGGTGGGTGTGGGGGACCGTTAGGTCCTGGCTGGGTGGGGCTCCTTTGGGGAGGGCGGGTGTGGGTGTACTCGGGGGTCGATGGGGGAAGAGATGGAAGGGCAACTGGGGAGGCGGAGTTGAGGGAGGGAAGGGAACCTGGAAGGGCCTGGGGCACGGGAGGAGGAGGAGGGGAGGGGCAGGTCAGGGGCGCGGGAGAGAGGTCCCCCAGGCTCAGTTTTGCCCCGACCCCATTTTATCCCCACAGATGAGAACAACGCAGACAGAACAGGGGGAAAAACCAAATGCACATTTATTAAGCTCAAGACGTAGACACCCAGGGTGCAGGGGAACGGGTCTTCCGCGTGGAGACAGGGAGGTGCAGGAAAGCGTTAAACCGGGATTCTGGGGGGCTGGGGGCGGATCCCCGGACCCCAGGAGCTGGAGGACTGAGTCCCTGGATATGGGCTGCAGACGGGCTCTTGCGGGGTCGTCATTGCCAAGGCCTGGGGAGGGGCAGCGGGGGGCAGCGGCTCCAGCCTCGGGGTGGGTGGGGCGGCTCATTCGGGGGAGCGCTCCCCGGCGCAAGGCTGGGCTCCCCACCGCCTCCACCCGGTCCTCAGGCTCCCGCGCTCAGGCAGGGACAGCAGTGGAGCTGCCCGGGGCCGACTTTACACGCCACCACCTCCAGGGGCTGGGGAGAGAGACAGGGACAGAGTGAGAGCGCCAAGGAGCCTTCGGTCAGCCACCAGAGGGATGGAAGCGGACCCTTCCCGCGGTCAGAGGGCCCTTCCTCCCCTGCGGATGAAGCCAGATCGCAGGGACTGTCACGCTGGCTCCAGGGAGCTGCCTTGCCTCCCCACACCCTGATGTCTCATCCAGATAGAGACGCCTGTGTGGTGTTGGTTCCGCCTCCCTGGACGCCGTCCTGGACAGGAACACACCTGTGACGACGCTGGAGACCCCTGGTCCAGCCTAGGCTTTTCTGGGATGGTCTCCTGCCAGAAAGGGAGTCTCCATGCCCCTCCTAGGTCCCCAACCTCCTCTCACAGCCCCACCCTTTCCCCACACCTTGTTTCCCCAGCATTTGGACACAACAGGAATTCTGTTTCCCACCCACTTGGGACCATCACTCAACTGAAGTGGGTCAGAATCTTGTACATGTTCTTAGATTGTGCCCCAGGTGCCAGGGCCACCCCCCCAACCATCACAAAGTGCCCAGTAATGTTTTTACACCTTGTTAAAAAGAACATGAAATTCCACACCAAATTCCCCCAAAGATTGAGTATTCCAAGGTCCATTTTTAGTTACAAGAACTTTATAAGAGACAGATTCCCTTTTCTGATTTTTTTAAAGTCCCCGGTAGCTGAGTTGCTGAGATGTAGTTCCACTAAAAAACAGGTCGAGATATTTTTACATAATTAAAATTAACACCCCGAGGAGTCACAATCTTCCATCCATAGGCATGTCCCCTCCCGCATCCTGTATCTCTCCTCCTCACACCTCTGTCCCCCTGCATCCACTTTCCCCTCCACATCCTCCGTCATCCCTATACCCCATTCCCTGTTTGCCGCTCAGCCCCCTTTACTGCTCAACCCTCTACACCCCATCCCTCCTGCACCTCATTCCCTATATGCCCCTCACCCTCTACACCCCTCACTACCCTATATCCCTCACCCCTCCTACACCACACCCCCTTCCACACCCCTCACCCCTACATCCCTCACTCACTACACCCCTCATCCCTCTACATCTCACCCCCTCTATACTCCTCAACCCTCTATGCCCCTCACCTTCTACACCCCTCTATACCCCACCCACTTCACACCTCTTACCTTTCCATACCTGTCACCCCTTTACATCCCCTCCTCCCCCTCCCCCACCTCCTCCATCCCCTCTCCCACACTCCCCCAACCCTCTTCACCCTCCAGCCCCTTCCTATGTCCTCTACCCCCTCCTCCCCGCTCCATCCTCTTCACTCTTTGTCCCTTTCCTACATTTTCTGTCTCTCTGTCCTTACACTCACCTCCCCACATCCTTTCTTATCCAACATCAATTTTTAAAATCTGTATTCTATGCATCTCTCATTTTCTTATTGTGATACAGTTATTCAGAAATTTTTTCTTCCCTCTTCCCTTCCTCCTTTCCTTTCTTTTTAAAAATCATTTTATCCTAGACCTTTCCAACTGAACAATAAAGTCTGGAAAGCATTCTATTTTGCTGCCTCTTCTAGAGCTCAGCTCTGTCTCCCTTCTGACTGCAGAAGTCCTGTCCCTGTGGGCCCCTCTCTTCACAGACTTGCAGCTTTCTGCTCTGGGAAATTAGTTCATACTAGCTTTTATAGGCATATGTAACTTGTTTCTGGGAAGCTTTGTGGATTCTTTAGGACACTTCACGTCCCACTGACTCTCCATGGTTTAACATTTTTATCTGTGGGGCTTCAGCTCCTGAATTTCCCAGGTCCATCCATTGGTGGCCCCATTCTCAGGGACATGCTGTACAACTCCCCTTCTGATGCTTCCCCTTTCTCTTTCCTCCTGTCCTCCCACGCCAGAATCACACACTTTCTCACCCTCACCTGAGGAGGGAAGCTCCGACTTACAGGATTTGCATGTTGGGCTGCAGAAGCAAAGATGAGAGAGAGAAGCATAAAGAGGTTCAAAAGGCACAGGCTTGTGGGCAGCATGGCAGGCCCCGGGGCCCTGGGCTCTTCCCGCCCCTCTCCCCTCTCCCCTCTGCTGCCAGACCTCTCAGACCTGGAGTCCGCCTTCCTGCACTTCACCTTCTTGCCTGTTAGGAGACAGGTTGACAGAACAAGGGGACAGGGCATCAGGGTCCGGACAAAAGCCAGCAGGGGAGCCATAGGTGTCAGAAGACCAAGAGGTGGCCCTCTGAGGGGCTCTGCAGCCCAGGAAGGGGTCACACTTACTGATGATGATGAGGATGCCCAGCAGGAACAATATGGTAGCCAGAGTCATGCCCACAGTCTGTACAGTGTCATAGTCTGGGGGAGATAATGGGGGACATCGAGGTGAGGGCAGCACCTCAGCCCCCAGAGTCTCAGCCTGGCCTCCAGGCTGCCCAGCCAGGGGCCCAGGATTCAGGGGTGCTGCTGGCCATGCTGGCAGCAGTCCAGTGGGTGAGTGTGATGATGGAGAGCATGAGCGGGGCATCAGCGGCTCCCCTTGACTGCTTCACCCTCTATCCTCTGGGTTTTTACCCCTAGAGATACATATATATATTATTATTCAATATATATAGATAGAGAATGGCAATATATATTATTATGTCACAATCATATATATTATTCAATATATATATCATAATCATATATAGTATTCAATATATGTTATTCAAATATATGTGTGTGTGTGTGTGTATATATATATATATATATAACCTTCCCCATCCTCTATTGCTATAGATATACTTCTACTGCCCCCTTCCTGGCCCTGTCCACCATTGTCACCCATCTGGACTATTGCAACAAGCAACCTTCTCTGTGGTCTCTCTAACCCCCAGCCACAGGGATCCTGTTAACTGAGTCAGATCAGGGTCCTCCGGAGCTCAGAGCAACCCCCTGGCTTCCACTGCATTCCAGGTAAAAGCCAAAGTCCTGCCCGCACTCCACAAGGCCCCATATGACCCAGTCCCTGTTCCTTCTCAGACTTCATCCCCTGCTCCAGGGGCACTGGTCTTCCCCTTGTTCCTGAAGCATGTTCAGGCACGGTTCTGCCACAGGGCCTTTGCACTTGCTGTTCCCACTGCCTGAACTCTTCCTTAAATATTCCTCCCTTACCAACTTCTGGGCTTTATTCAAATGTCAGCGAAAGCTTTCTGGCTGTCTTATTTAGAATTTCTCATCCTCTCAACACTCTGATTCTTTCATTTTCCTTCATAAGAATTATTCTTGTCTAACATGCCACAGTAAATACTTGTTGAATTTGTGGAGCACCCACTCTGTACCGGCAACTGTCCAGACCTCTGCCTTCAGGGAGGTGGTTTTCAGACTGTGATAAAGCACTAAACAAAATAAAACAAAAAAACTGAGTCATGTGACCATGGCTAGCCATGGAAGTAGCTCCTCTTGCTGGGAAGTCAGGAGGGCCTTTCCTAGCAGAGCAATCAGTATTTGATCTGAGGCCTGAAGAATGAGCAGGAGTCTTAGCCAGCTATGTGGAGATCTACAGAAGGAGTATTCCTGGTAGAGAGAACAGCAAGTGCAAAGGCCCTGGCATGGGAAAGAACTTGGCATATTGCAGGAACAGTATGAGTGAGCAAGGGAGAAGGCAGGAGAGTACTCAGAGAGGGAACTGAGACCAGGTCTGCTAAGCCTGGGGGTAACTTCTTTGAGCTTCAGTGCTGTGGGGACAATTTAATGACATCATCAAGTAAATCTTACCCACAATCCTCACAGGTGGAAACTATTTCTATTCCTCATTTATAGAAAGGCCCAGAGAAGCAAAGTTGCTTGCTCAAGGTCACACAGCTAGTGAGTGGAAGAGCCAGGATTTAAATCCAGGCAGCCTGACCTCAGAGTCATTTCCTTCTATGATGACCCCAACACACCAGCTCAGAGTCCTGGTGAAGCCTGAAGGGGGTCCAGAGAAGATACCCCCAAATCTGATTCTGCCCTCCATGAGCCCAGCTGATATGAACTGAACCCACATGTACAGTGGCCCAGGATGTATCATGTTGCCATGACTGAAGCCACTTCAGCAGTGACCATAAGGGACTTGCAGCCACCCCTCCACCCAGCTCCAGGCTGTCCTCATCACAATATCCACCACTCACCATAGTAAAATGGGTCAGGTTCCTGAGGAACTGTGGGAATGAAGGCAGAGAAAGAGAGAGAGGGAAAAAATATTTCAACACTGGGTTTCTTAACAATTTTGAGTATCCAGATGGGCCACTGGCCCAATGGTTTCTGTATAGAAATCAGATAAAGGGACCCCTTGCTCTGGATGATATAACCTTATGGCAGGACACAGTCATGAAGAGTGGAGTATAGGCTGGGTTCTAGGCCACATTCACTCTATTGGTGGGATCCTCCCTTGTGCAGTGCACAACCTACTCAACGGTACATGGCAGTCCTGGTCCCAGCCCCTGTGGAGGTCTGATATAAGCTCCGGATTCATTTCTGAAAAACACACACACACTCCTATTTCCACAGGATGTTGGAGATTAAGACTCCAATCCCACTGGTGGGCTGCTGAATATATCAGCTTCCCCTGAACACTTCCTAAAACTTCTCAATTACCTGAGAGCCCCAAAAGGCAGGAACTTTGGCTACTGCTCTCAACTACTTGCTCCTGCAACTAAATCCAGCACAGGGGAGCTGTTTTCTAATATACCCTATATTACATTATGTATAATATATGCTTTATTATTTATTTCTGAGGCACTATTGATTTTAAGATACAAAGTTGATTTTGTAATCACTTTCCCAGTGTGTGTGTAGATGTGTGAGTATGTATGTAACTCTACCACAAGAAACATGCCCACCCATTAGAACACTCACCCAATTGCACAAATATTAATGTGTGGATAAAATGTGTAAATGTCCCAAGCCATATTCCTCTCCAGAAAAGCTCAGAAGATCCTTCCCATTCAAGAAGCCCACCTGATGGTTCCCTAAGTCCCCTGATAGCTTTTAGTACATTCTGCTTTGTCCAGAGCGGGATTCTGGAGAGAAGGTACCACTGGGAAAGAGGTACCAGGGGTGTCAGGGTGATGCCACATGTTGCCATCAGTGATCTTCCCCCTCCCAGGCTCAGGGAAGGATGGTGGCTGATTTGAGTTTGGGTGGACCATATGACTAATCCCGGCCAATGGACTGTGAATGGGAGTGTCATTGCCGTTTCCAGACGGGAGCCATGTGCCCATGCTCCTTTTTGCCTTTGGCTTGGTGATGTGCATGTTCAACATAATGGCTGCTACATTTTTCTTTGGTGAATAGAAACCCCTGGTCAACTTGTCATGGGCATATATATGTGTAAGTGAGAACTCAACTTTGGTTATCAGAAGCCACTGAGACTTTCGGTACTATTTGTCACTCTAGCCTAGCTGATGCAGGTGGTACCTGGGCAAGACCCTAAACAGCGCTGATTCAGACAATTTGTAACTTTGCCCTTCTCAGTCTTTTGTCCAGTTCTCAAAGACGAAGGCTTAGGTAATTGCTGATGTGTCTGTAACACCTTCCAACCCTTGTTAATTCCCCACCCCCTACCCCCGAGAGAAAACAGGCCCTGGCTTCAGAGCCTTTAGCAAGCAACATTTTGTGACATTGTTTGGTTTTCTCTACCTATTTATCTAACCAGCAGTCCATAGCCATGATTCCATGCCAGCCTCTCTTCTAAGCACATCCCAGATGTTAACAGACTTTTCACAGCAGCTCTCTGACATAGGTACTAGCTTCACCCTCATTCCATAAAGAGGGACACTGAGGCCATGAAAAATAAAGTCACTTATTTAAGATCATTTTTATACTTGTTTTCAATTTAAGGGAATAATCCTGATTTTCCCTTTGGAGTTTTGATGCAAAATAAAACTAAGTTTTTTTAAAGTTAATTTATTCAACTTAGTTACTTCCACTTCTGGGAATTTACGTGAAGAAAACAAAATCATTAATTCAAAAAGATACATGCACTCCTATGTTTACCTATTGTTTACAAGAGCCAAGATATGGAAGTAACCTAAGTGTCCATCTATAGATGAATGGATAAGGAAGATGTGGTGCATTTATACAATGGACTGTTATTCAGCCATAAAAAAGAATGCAATCTTGCCATTTGTGACAACATGGATGGACCTAGAAGGTATTATGTTAAGTGAAAGAAGTTAGAGAAAAACAAGTACCATATATTTTCACTTACATGTGGAATCTGAAAACAAAGAAAGAAAGAAAACAAATAGACTCATGAACACAGAGAACAGACTGGAGGTTTCCATGATAGGGAAGGGGAGTAGGAAAAAAGAAATCCTTTGAAGGAAAAAAACTAAATAAGTATCAGTGGGGAATGTTTGGGTAGAGCAAAAATCATGGAGGTGGTACTTAAAAGCATCAATATGAGGAAACATTATTTTAGAATCATCTGTGCTCTGTCTTAGCTCCCCCACCAGATGGGGAGTAAATTTGACTATCTCTGCTGCTAATCCTTGCATTTATAAAAAGTCTTTCAAAGAAGTTTTCTGGAATGAATGAAAGAAAGAAAGAACGGATGAGTGAATGAATGCACGGAAGCCCCTGCTAGGCTTCAGGAGGCTGCATAAGAGGTGGAGCAGTTGGATCATCCTGCTTCTGCCTCCTGTGTTTCCACACACCCTGCCTCCCCAAACCATCAGAAGCCACTGGGTAAATGCCTGTCCCAGGATCCTCTTGGTTCCTCCCTGGGTGCTCCATGCTCCGTGAAGTTCCTCTTCTGGTCCCTGCTGTCCCAGCAGTCTGGGTCCTCAGGGTGAGGTTGGGCTAGGGGTGGAGCCAGGAGGCAGAAGGAATGTGCAACATTCCTGGCCAGTTGCCAAGGAGACATCAGGAAGGAGGTGGTTGCTATGGCAACTGGAGCATCTTAAGAGGTGAAGAGAGGTGATGGGTCTGGGCTCCCCACGCTGGGTGGGGTCCAGTGTGGAACTTGTGGGCCAATCTTGACTCCCTTTGCTCCCTTTGTGCTCCCCCCCATAACTGCCCCTGCAAGGCTGGCTTCCAGCCAAGCTGGCGGTCGTTCTCAAGGATAGGGACCCAGGCCCAGCTGTGCTCCCACATACCCTTTCTGTTTGCCCCCAGCTCTCCCTCCTGCTCTCTGACAGGATGGGGAGAGTCTTCACTACCCTCCCCATTTCTGCCCACCAATCCATTAATTCATTTCCCTAAGTGCTTGCAACACACGACATGCTTTTCCTCCCCTGAAGTTTCCCAAGACCTGTGGTCCCCTCTCATGCTGTGACCCAGCAAAAGGAGGAGGGTGGGGCTGGGCATAGGCGTCGGTCCTCCCACCTCTGCCCGACTGCCATCGATCCTGCTAACCACCATCTCTGCGAAAAGAAGCCCTGGGCTCCTGCCAGGCCTGCTAGCTCAGCCCTGCCCCCTCTCCCTAGGGTGGCTTCCAGCCTCTGCAGCCCCCCCACCCCGCCCTCCTTCAAATTCTGCAGATATGGCTCAGTGCAGCAGCCCCCACCCGCCAGGAAAAGGGGCAGGGAAGGAAATATCAGAGTGGAATTGAGGTACCCTTCACCACCAGGGACTCCAGCACCGCTGGCCTATCCCCCTGGCCCTGCTTTCAGTGCTGGAAACCTCCCCTTCCCACCTCCCCGCACCCCCATCACAGCATTCCTCCCCTTGCTCCTCTGCAGAAGCAGGCTCAAGAAAGGGGCTGTTGGGTGGAATGAGTGTTTAAGTGGGTGCATATCTGGGTTAATGGGTGTGAAATGTAAATCCCTGTGTGGCTGAACGGGGGTGGGAAGGGGAATCTGTGTGCACACCCAAGTGCACCTCCCACAGCAGACAACAACCAGATGTGGGCTGGGAAGGAGGTTCCTGAAACCCATTTCTGCCCATGGGGGCTCATTGCAGTGGCTCAGCCCCACCCCGTGGCCCTCCTAGTTCTCTTGCTCCATGGGTCCCTCTCTCTCTCTCTTTCTCCCGTGTCTTTCTCTATGACTCCCTCTCCATAGTTGTCTCAATCCCTCCATCTCTCGGTATTGCTTGTCTCTGATTTGCTCTCTGTCTCTCTGCATCTCTGTTGCTCTCTGTCTCTCCCCTTCACTCGCTCTGAATCTCTCTGAATCTCCGATTTGTCTTCTGCCCGAGTCTCTCTGGGTTTCGAACTCCGGGTCTCCTGTCTCTCTTGGTCTCTATCTCTTTCAGGCTCTCACTCCAGCGGTCTCTTTCCACAGTCCTTTCTGCCTTCCTTTCTCAGTCTGTCACTTCCTCCAGCTCTCTCACCCTGTCTTTCCCTCTCTCCCTGCTTCCCGCTGAACCTGCCTCTCAGGAATTCCAAAAAGCACCCACCATAGGAGCCAGCACTAGTAAGAAGAGGTACAGGGACCCCTCCTCTTATACACCCCAGGGACCCTGAAATGTATAAGAACCTCTGTGGCCGCAGACCTACCTGCTCCCACCCTCAAAGCCCATCTCTTCGCAGCCACTGCCACTGCTGTGCCTGACCAGTCACCCGGTTGCCATAGCTACCGGTCCGCGCATCCTTTCTCCCCCGACTACCGCTCTCCAACAGCGCTGGTCGCTCACAGGAATGACACCACCGGGAGGGGGTGTCCATGAGGCCCAAAGAGGTTCCAAGGGGGGCACTGCAGGAGCCTCCGCTCATGGGAGGAACGGACATCCCCTTCCCTACTCCCCTCCTTTTCCAGCCCTGAAATCTCCCCATATCCTCTCTCCACGCTCTAAGATCTCCGAGCCGACCACCCCCACACACAACCCGCGCACCCTCCCCCCAGGCGACGCTCACCCTTTGTGGGGGCCTGCGTTGGGGTCGCCATGCCGGACCGGAGCAGGGGGCGACTGGATGCTGAGGCGGTGAAGGCGCGGCTGCAGCAGCTGGAAGCGGGACAGACTGAAGTCTAGGGTAGATGGGGGGAGCCCTCGTGTGTGGGGGCCTTAGCCAATGGTGGCCGGGAGAGCCCGCCCCCGTCCAGGCCACCCCCCGCCTCCGCCCACTGCCGGCGTCCCCGCCCCTTCTCCCAGGGTGGGGGCGCCCCCTGCCGGGGCCATGGGGGCGCCCAGGCTTTCGCTCAGAGGGACTGCTAGATCCACAAAGCGCTGTCAAGAGGGAAAAAGCCGTTTTATTGGACGTCTGGGCCGCAGAGCGGAGTGTGTGCGACAGGGCTGGGGAGGAGGCAGTCCCGGTGGGCGGTGGGCTCCCGGGTGGTGTGTGGGAGGAGTCAGGAGACGGGGAATCCTGTGGGGTGACAAGGGTGAGAGGCCGGGAAGCCCTCCAGCCCTTGCACCCCCTCCTCCCTCCCTCCCCCCAGCTTTGTCAGAGCCGCAGGACCTGGCTGGATTGCATTGCGCCAGGTGTTTCTACCGCCTGCGGGTGGACAGACCTGAGGGGAATACAGAGAGTTCGGGCGTCAGGAGCGGCACTCCAGCTCCTGAGCAGCAGGGAGCAGCAGGGGACTCCCCGCCCTGGGGCTGCAGATCAAGTCCCTCCCTCCTCGCGTCCGGGGCGGACTGGGCCAGGGGTTCTGGGAACCAGCCCTCACCCTCAAACACCTAGTCTCCCCAAACTCACGGCGGATGGAGCTGCGGAAAGTTCCCTCCTCTTCATCAGGTTCCCCAGTCCTGGGAAAGGAGAGGCAGAAGAAATGGAGGGTGGAAAAGAGAAGAGGCAGCCACTTCTGGGAGACCCCCCCCGCACCCTCCCCTTCTCCTCCCCCTCCGTGCAGCCCTTATTTCAGAGACTGGGGTACCAGGACTGCCGGAAAATCAGGTGCAACCAGGAACGTTTAAGTTGTGCAGCAGGAGGCGCTCCAAGAGGGTGTCAGTGAGTGCCTCCCGGAGTGCCGGGGAAGGGACTGGAAGTTGGTGGGGGAGGAATGGCCAAAGGGACTTGGCAGACTGCCTGGAGGCAGCCTAGGTGAGAAACCTGGAACCCTCAGCTTCTCGTTCAGTGATCTTAGGCAAGTGACTTTCCCTCCCTATGTCTTGGTTTCCTCATCTGTAAAATGAGGTTAGTAGCAGCACCTCCCTCATAGAAGGGGTCTGATAATATAATATAGTAACATAAGATGAAACAGTATCTGACACATGGGACACACCCAATAAATATTAGCTATTATTTATAATAACATCTATAACTGTTTTCACACGAAGGAGGCAGTCATGCGTTGCTTTAAATTTTTATTTAAAGATGAATCAAAGAGCTAGGAGCAGGACTCGGAGCTAAACTGGGCCGCCGAGCGAGGTGATCTCATTTCGCCCCGGCTCTTTCACAGCACTTATCACACTTTGTGATTTTGTATCTGTGGGGCTGTTGGAATCCACGGCCACCGCTTGCACTGGGTTAATTCCCTGCTTGCTCCCCAGATCAGGCTTGGGGCTTGGCACGTAGTAGGTGCTTACTTTTTTCTGAAGGGTCTCTGGCTGCGGATCGAGTGGACTTCCCGCCTCACCCCCAGCGCCCGTCTAGAGCAGGAGTAGGTGAGCGAAGGCCCTTAGGAGCCTCTTACCTCTGCTGCTGGTTGAATTTGCACCGGCACCTTCTGCCTGTGGCGGGGGTGGGGGACAAGGCTGAGATTCCACTGCAGGCTGGCACCGCGTGGCGCTCTAGCCCGAACTCTCCCGCGCGAGGGGCGGAGCCTCGCGGGCGGGGCGGGGCCCGAACGGGGGGGCGGGGCCGAGGACGCGGATAGGGACCGGGCTGGAGGCGGGGGAGGGAGGACAAGGCGGGGCTGGGGCTGAAACGCAGATGCGGGGGCTACATACTCAGAATGATGAGGATCCCCAGGATGAAGAGGATCCCGGCAATGATGAGGCCCCCTATCCGCAGGGACTGGTAGTCTGTGGGCAGCAGGGAGGAGGGTGAGGGCAGGAGGGAAGCATGGGGAGGTGGAGGCAAACAGGAAGGATGGGGAGGGGAGAAGGGAAATCAGTGAGAGGAGGGCGCTGACGAAGGCGGCGGGTCAGGGAGAGGAGAGGGGGGAAGAGAGGAGACCAGGGAGCAGGGGAGGGTGACGGACAGGACGCGGGGACGGGCTGCGGCAGGGCCGGAGACACTGAGAGGTGGAGGGAGAGGGAGGATCGGCGGGACAGGCGTCCAGTGGTGAGACACGTACAGAGAGACAGTGAGAAACACGCAAGGGGAGATGAAGACGGAAAGAGTCGGAGACCCACATCAAGGGGGAGAGGAGAATGGCAGACATAAGCCCTGAGAGTTGGAGGGGAAATGAGGACAGCGCAGGCAAACCCAGGCCCTCTGCCCTCCCAGATCCCAGGACGGATGCCCTCCTCCCTCACCGTAGGTGAATGGGTCATGTTCCTGTGGAGCTTCTGGAAAGAAAGAAATCAGGGGTAGGATGCTCCCTAGGGCCCTACGGAGGGACACAAAGAGAACCTTTGGGGGCTTTACCTTCCCGGCTGAGAGTCTGGGCAGTCTGCCCACCCTCCCTGGGTCTCAGCTGCCCTCTCTGCACTGCCCTGGGGGCACAGTGGGCACCCAATTGGCCCAGTTCCTGGTCTCATCTCAGTTTGTCTATGGTTCCATATTCATGGGGAGCAGGCCTCCATCCTGCCCTCCAACTTTTCCTAAATTGAGACATCCTGTCCCCTCTCCCAAATGCCAGCCTGTGACTGGAGCCCATGTAAGATCCTCCATTTCCTGGTGCCCCAACTGACCGTTTGGGGTAGTCTCCAGCATGGTTGTCCTGAAGGGTTTTCCCTCGCCCTGTCTCCCTGGGGCTGAGGTAGGTAGTGGGCTGCCTCCCCCAGACTCACCTGCTTTGGCCTCGATGAGACCCACACAGAGAACCAAGATGTGACCAAGAGATGCCATTGTCCTGGGGAACACCAAGAGTCAAGAAACGGGCACTCTCTTACTCCCACTATTGGGGTCTGAACCCAAGGGGTTAAGTAAGAGGCAGTCCAGGTCCTTAATTCCAAAAAACATCCGTCATCCATCTTGGCCACCCTGAGAAACAGGGACATCCTGTGTGCTTCACAGGGACACAGCATCACCAAAACAACCCACTACCCAGTGAGGGTCATACTGCAACACAACACAGGAAACGCAAGGGTGAGGCACACGGCCTGTGGGTCTTCTGCAGGCTGGGGCCTCCCCACAACAGGCCCCAGATTCCCCAGACCTACCCTGGCAGGAGGAGCAGAAGGCCTCGGCCCCACCCCAGTGGAGAAGCAGACACCCTGTAAGGGATGCAGCAGCCAGGACGCACCAGGGGCCCACCTGCACACCGCGGGCTTGCTGTGTCCCTGCCCTCGGCCGCTGGCCCCGCTCTCTGCCTGACCCTGGGTATAAATATCTCCCACTTCACCCTGGAGGAATTTGCCTCTTACAGGCCACCATGGCAACAGCCTTCCTTCCCCCACTCGGGGGTCACGCACAGCCCTGCTGGGTGAAGCTGGGCTACCACATTGCCACGGGCTGCCCCCATGGGAAAGACCACCCTTGTCTCCTAGAAGTGATGAGAACAGGGGAAAACAGCCCCTCCGCCTGCCTCCGGATGACTTCTTTCACAAGCTGACGACACCAGGCGAGTGACATGAGGCCCAGGTCAGTGGAACGGAGACAGAAGGCAGATGCCAGGGTCAGGAACACACACACTCACACTTGAATGTGCAGCGGGGCTGGAACGGAGACAACGCCCACTCCCCAAACTTCTGGATGGAACAGAACGTGGGGCGGAAACAGTCAGACACACATTAGCCCTCATCTGAGCCTCCAGTGCCCCCAAACAGTGACGCAGCCTGAGCTACACATGTGAGTGTCCAAAACTCACACCCAGCCAGGGTGCACACGCAGCGGCAGGAGTTGCAGCCACACTCCCACCCCTGGGGGAACCCCAGTGTCCCAACCACACTCCCTTCCGCCTGGGTCTGGCCTGCCTGGGAAGCCATGGGCTGGCCACTCCTGCTCCCAAAATAGGTGGCCCAGCCAAGTGAGGGCTGAGGCCTGGAGGGGAGGGGCGGGGGACGCTCACCCCAATCAGGCTGTCCCCTGCCGAAAGAAGGCCCCCAAACGTTCGGCTGTGCCCAGGGTGAGCACTTTGGACCCCCTGGCCCAGAGCTGGACGCGCCGCCCTCAGCAGTCTCCCCTCCCAGCTCAACCCCACCCTTGCCCTCCCCAGCCAGCAGCTGTAACTGGAGCCGGGGCTGGAGGGGGGCCAGGGGGCGGCCCCCAGCCCAGACCGCCCTGGCCCGCTAGGTTAACTCTCTCAGCTCAGATGGAGGAGCAGTAGGCAGCTATCAGTGGGGGAAAGCTGGGGCGAGGAGGTGCTGGCAGGGAGGACTGGATCACAGACACACTCATGCATGCGCATATGCACGTGATAGCTTCTGAGCTGGGGTGGGACAATGGGTGTCAATGATTTTCTGCACTGCCCCCTGGGAATTGGGCCCAGCTGGGGCCTAAGGTCACCCAGCCTGAGTGCTTAGGAGCCCACTGCCCCCTGACCCCAGTGTTCTGAGGAACCCTGGTCAGTACTACTGGGCTGTTCTGGGGGCATTTCAGAGTGTGTGTTATACTGTCTGATGGTAAGTGAGGTCCCCCCGGGGTGCACACTACACACACACAAAACCAAGACCCAGATAAACTGGCACAAAATCAGACAAATATATGTTTGTACATAATACAAACACAGAAGCAGACACACACAGAATAACAGAGCCATAGAGAAACCCAAACACACACAATCAGCATTCTTACACAATCTCAGAGATGTGAAGGCCCTCAAGCTGTGTACATATGCACACAGACAAATGGCCGTGTTTACAGGGGCACACAGGAGGCAGAAGCACTGTCAAGGACACAGCCATACAACCACCCGCTCTTACATATAATCACAAAAACATACACACATACCTGTGTTTACACCCTCATGTGTAAGCAAAGGGCACATGGCTGGCCACACAGTCACACTCACACAGGCCCAGACACTTGTGTTCAGATACTAGGAAATAGCACCAAACATGCCTTGATGTCTTTAATCCCAAACCTCCCCTTTCCTGAGCACCTGTGGCTCCAAGATCCCTGGAGGATAGCACACCTCTTGGGTGACCAAACTCACAGGCTCTGGTAACAGAGAAACCTGGGGTCAGGTCTGGGCTCTGCCAGTCCTGGTTGTGTGACCTTGAACAGCCCATCTGACTGCTTTGTGCCTCAGTTTCCAATCTGGTAAAGTGGAGAAATCAGTAAGGTCGTATGTACAACCCCAGGCCGGGCTTCAAAGTCTCTGAGACTGACAGTATCTTATGACTAGCTCCATTTTAGAGATAAGCAAACCAAGTTATAGCAGAGAGGAACTATGTCCCCCTTGTTGTTAAAGATGGAAACTGCCCCCACCCGGGAAGAGACCTGGATGACACAGGGCTCTGCAGGACAGTCAGCAGAGATGGCCATGTGCACGCTCAAGCCTAGGCATGGCCCTGACACACACATGTGTGCTTGGGGCCTCAGTGGACCAGGAGGCCTCAAGTTTCCCTCATCCAGCTCTGTCTGAGCCTCTGCCCCTCATGGCCCTGTACCCCAAGTCACCAGCAGCCCCTGGTCAATGATGACCCTGATGGCTATGCAGCACTGGAGAGGGTGACGTAGGAGCAAGGGGGTCAAGCAGGGAGGGGCACCGGGGCAGCTCCAGCCAGCCTTCCACTCCCTTCCCCACAGGGCCAACTGCTCTAGCTGAGTGGTTCAGCCACTCTCGCTGGGTGATGTTGGGCAAATGACTCAACCTCTCTATGGCTCGGTTTCTCCTTCTATGAAATGGAGATAATAACAGTATTCACCTCAGAGGGTGGTTGGGACAATCACCTGAAATGATCCATGGAAAACATTTGGAAGAAAGCCTGATGCACAAGAGGTGACACCAACCACAGAAAAGTCAGCCATCCTCATCAACACTGTAGTCGTCCTTCTTACGGTAAACAGGAGTGAGATCCCTGTGGGGCGGGGCACTCCGTGAGTAGGGATTTAGGGCTGCTTGTGTCCCTGGCACAAAGTTCTTTATGTTTTCAAAAACCCTGTGAAGAAAACCATCCCCACTGTACAGCTGGGGTGACCAGTACCTGTGGGGCCTTCCTCAAATCACAGCTGTGCAGGGGCAAGACAAGCATTTGGGTTGAGTCTCCCCCCATGCCTGCGACCACTGCAGGGTGCCCACCCTGCACTGAACCCCAATCAGGGGGCGTTGCCTCCCTCATCTCACTGAGTGCTCTACGCACCTGGGAAGTGGGTGTCACGGCTGCACCACTGACATATGGGAACACTGAGGATCAGGGGGGTCAAAGAGCAGCCTGGGACACACAGCACTGGGCCTGGAACCCAGCTCTGTATGACCCTGCCTGAGTTGGTGCTACTAAGCCCCTTGGCCTCCGAGCCTTCTGGGTGTGTGTGGCAGTGGTGAGAAAGGCTGTGTTTTCCTCAGCGGCAGAGGAGCATGGTTAGGTTTAGATCTGTCCAGCGTCATGGAACAGACTGTTTCACAGTCTACTGCCTCATTTTCCCCATCTGTAAGGTGGGCGTTAGTAATACCACCTACCTCACAGGGTTGTCGTGAGAACTGAGTAAATTCATATAAAGACTGGCACACAGTAAGTGTTCAGTGAGTATTATTATTACTATTTCAAGTTTGATAACAAGCATCATTTGCTTCTCTTTTTTGATGGACAGACTCTAATCAAATTGCTAAAAGCTTAGTCCAAATGAAAACAACCAGTATCCATGAGTTCTGATCTCCAAGGAAAGTGCAAAATCTCGCAGGGAGGACCTGGAGCTGACTTCCTGGGCTTGAGTCCTGGCTCTGCCCCAGCTGGGTGGCGTACATTGCAAATTCACCTGTCTCCTCAGTATCTCCATCTATGAAAGTCACATAATAGGATCAACTTCAGAGGGCTGTGGTGGGTCAGAATGAGCTAGCTGATCCATGAACGTTTAGAATAGGGCCTCGTACTGAAGCAGAGCTGAGGAGGAGGGAGGCATTATCGCCTACATTTTTCCCTTGAGTTGGGCCCTTACCCCCAGAGGGTGGTTAGGGGTTAATGTGGGACAGGCAAGCAAGGCTGTGGGCTTGGGGCAGGGCAGGTGCCCTGCCGCGTGTGGCCACCAGAGGGAGCAGCTGGCCCTGCGCTGGCCCCTCCGGGCCTCGGTGACAGCCCCGCCACGCCCTCCCGGAGCTGGGCGGGGGGCTGGCTGGGCGTGGCCCCCAGGGGTCTCCTCCCACCCCCCTCCTTCCCGCTGAGGCGTCCGGTCCCCACCCTGGTGGCATCCTCTTCAGACTCCCAGAGTTGGGGGGGGTTGGGGAATCTGGGGAGGGGGCTGGCTGGGCGTGGCCACGGCGGCTCCTGCCCCTGCGGCCCCTCCCCTCCCTGGGGCCACCGGTTCCTTCCCGAGGCTGCTCTTCCTACGGCCTCTGACCCCTCCTTCTCACCCTAGTTTGCCGGGGGCACCCGGTGCCCAGCGAGTCCCTTTCCCAAACCCCCTGGGAGAAGGGGCGTGGGAGGAGGGGAAGAGAGTTACAAGGAGCTGCAAAGGGGGTGGTGTGGTAGGAAGAGGAGAAATAAAGACACCAGACAGAGGAACACACACACACACACACACACACACACACACACACACACACACACAGGCCAACTGAGACTGAGACACAGAGACACAGAGACAGAGAGACAGAGACCAACTCACTGAGTCAGAAATACAAGAGAGGCACAAAGACAGAAGAGAAATAAACAGAAAATTGGACACCAGAGAGACACAGGAAGGACAGACTGAAAGGGAGACAGAGGGGAGAGAGAAGCCAGGGCAGAGCGTGCCAGCTGGCGGGATGGAGGGTCGCCTGGCCTGGGAGAGGTAGTGGCCCCGGCCTGGGCCGAGCTGTGCGGGGGGCCGAGCAAGCTGGGGCCTCGGTGGGGGTGGGGGAATGGGAGGGGTGGCTCTGGTCCTGCTGCTGCTGGTGGGAGCAGGGGTGGGTGTGGCCTGGAGACCCCCAAAGGGGAAGTGTCCTCTGAGCTGCTCCTGCTCCAAAGACACTGCCCTGTGTGAGGGCTCCCTGGACCTGCCTGAGAGCTTCTCCCCAACCCTGCTGTCACTGTGAGTGTCAGGCCTCGGAGGGCCTGAGGGTGGGGCTTGGAGCCCTGGGGCCCCAGGGCTGGGGGGGCAGGATACCAGTTCTCCAAAGAAATAGGAGCCCTCCAGGATCTTGGGAGGTGGGCAGCAAAGAATGTCGGGATGCCTGAAAGGGGGCTGCAGGGATTTGGAAGGAATGCCAAAGAGCAGGGGTGGCGCTGAGGGCCCAGGAAGAGGGTTAGCCAGCCGTGGGCTGAGGACCACCAGGATCCTTGCCAAGCAAAGCGTGCAAACACCTGTCTCCCCTGGGATGTAGGGTCAGGGTCTGGGGTCTCCGCAGACAGGAGGTGGCTCTGGGATGGGATTGGAGCACTGGAGTGGTTTTCTTCTCAACCCCCATCTACATGTCCCCAGCTCACTCGTTCGGACAGGAGTCACCCAGCTGAAGGCCGGCAGCTTCCAGAGGGTCCCCACGCTGCACCTGCTGTGAGTAGGGCCCAGCAAAGCCGGCGACATGCCCGAGGGAGTGGGGGCTCATGCACAGGCACGTGGGGCGTGCACATGTATGTGCAGGTGTGTGACTGTGAAAGCAGCTGTGTTGCGCACATACTCACATGATGTGCTACCGCCCGCCGCGGGAGCCAAGGTTACAAGGTCAGGTGGGGGCAGCAACTCCAGAAACATTTCTTCCTTGCTCCCTCACCAGCCTCTTCACGTCCAACTCCTTCTCCGTGATCGAGGACGATGCCTTTGCTGGCCTGTCCCACCTGCAGTACCTGTAAGTGTGGCCGTGGGTGGGGGAGGAGCGGTGGGGAGGCATGGGAGAGGAAGACGGGCCCTCCATGGCTCCCAGAGCAAAGGGAGGCAGGGGCTGGTGGCCCTGGAAAGGAAGTGTCTGGTACCCACCGGAGGGGCAAGAAGACTGGCCTCTTGGGGGGGCTCAAGGTGCCTGCTCGGCTGTGGAGTCCCAGCCTGCTCGCCTCACCTCTTTGTGCTTCAAGACCTACAAAGGGCCTGGATATCCCAAGACTGTTTCTGGTCCCACTTCACTTACGGGAACCTGGGGAGAGTGCAAAGAGGCCAGAGACGGGAAATGTTTCAAATTAACAAAGAGCTCTGAGTTAAGTGGCAGTGGTAGCAATGGTGGTGGAAATGAAACAACAGTGTGCGGTGGTGGTGACAGTAGGATCGTGCTGTCAGTGGTGTTGATTTGGTGTTGATGGTAATGGTGGTAGCGGTCCTGTTCCTGCTTCTCACAGAAGGGGTGGAGTTATTGAAGATGACAGTGTGGGGATGAAGTTGGTGCCAACGGTGGACGCATTAGTGTTGGGGTTGTGGGCACTGGTAATTACAGTATTGGTGACGCTGCTGGTTCTGGCCAAGGGTAGATGCGGATGCTGGTGTCATATAATGGCCGTGTTGCTGTGACTGGATTTGGTGGCCATGGTGGGGGTGCTGGCACATGGAAGTTGTGGCAGTACTGGTGCTGGTGAAGACATGGGCACTGGGATTATGCTGGTGGTGTCAGTGTTGGCAACACTAGTGTTAGTCCGTTGCTTTGGAAAATGGTGGCCATGCTGGCGATGATGGTGGCAGTCATTTTGGCACTGATCTTGAAGGCTGTTGTGTTACATGCTTATCGGTGCTGCTGGGGTAAGGTTTGGTGAGGAGGCATTGGCATTGGTGTTGGTGGGAGTGGGTGGTGACCATGGGGTGGTGTGGGTGACAATGGCAGTTACCGGCACTAGGGATGATGACAGTGGTAGAGGCACGGGTGTTGGTCATAATGGAGGATGGTGAGTATTGGTGGAGATGTTAGTGCTAGTGCTGGTGTGGGTGATTCTGGGGACAGTGGTGAGGCTGATGTCACCATAGGGTTGGGTTCCTGGCTCCGGGACTGTAAGCTGCGACCTGGTGAGGAGAGTTCCTGAGAAGGCCTCTCTTGGGATCATGCAAGGTGTGGGGGGTTCTGGCAGCAATGGCGTCCATGGGGTGATCCCCCCAAGCACCGAAGGGCCACAGCAGGAAGCTGACAGCCTCCCCCTCACACCCCCTTCCCTTCACAGCTTCATCGAGGACAATGAGATCGGCTCCATCTCTAAGAACGCTCTCAGAGGACTTCGCTCACTCACCCACCTGTGCGTGCCCCTAAGGCTCACCCCCACTGCACCAGCCTGCCCTGACAGGTGCCCCACTGCCCATCACCCAGAGACACAGGTGCTGGCAGCTGCTAATGGTTCCTCCTCTGCTCCCTCCACCAGGAGCCTGGCCAATAACCATCTTGAGACCCTCCCCAGATTCCTGTTCCGAGGCCTGGAGACCCTGACTCATGTGTGAGGCTTAAGGGGACTGGGGGGCAGGTAACTGGGGACCACTTGAGAGGGGAGGGCTATCTGTGCCCACTTTTGTTGGCACAATGAATATGGCAGCAGTGGTTCTTACATATTTGCATAACACCTGTGGGACCCCATCCTGAATGCTTGCCTGGGGAGGGGACAGGGAGTGTGACCTCTTGGGGGGAGTGGAAGCCACGTCGATGCCCCACCCCGGCTTCTTGCCCCAGGGACCTCCGCGGGAACCCGTTCCAGTGTGACTGCCGTGTCCTCTGGCTGCTGCAGTGGATGCCCACCGTGAACGCCAGCGTGGGGACCGGGGCCTGTGCTGGCCCTGCTGCCCTGGCCCACATGCAGCTCCGCCACCTCGACCCCAAGATGTTCAAGTGCAGAGCCATAGGTGGGGGCTTTCCTGGCAGGGTGGGAGGGACAGCAGGGGCTCCCAGAAGAAGGCAGGAGATCAGGGGAATGGCTGCTGGGGCTGTGGCGCCCCCCTCCTTCCCTGCTCTGCCACGGCCTGGCAAGCGGCGTCACCTCCCTGAGCCTCAGGTTCCCCATCTGTAAAACTAAAGTAATAAACGGTGACATAGGATTGCAGTGAAGATTCAGCAATGCAGCCACACCTGATTTGGCTCAGGGCCTTATAAATATGTTCACTCTCATGGTTATTAATACAAAAATGACCATTTTTAAAACACTTCCTATTATCATTTTGCTAGTCCATAAATATATTTTGGTACCTTTATAGGTACTGGGCAGTGCAGAGAACATAGCAGTGATGAGACAGTCCCAGGTCTTGCCCTCACCGAGCAAAGGCAGAAAGTGATCGCCCAGCGGGCTCAGGGCCAGGATGGGGGAAGCCTACGGAGCTGCAGGAGCCCAGAGCTAGAACAAGGGCCAGACACAGAGGAGGGCCAGGAAGGGCTTCCTGAAGGTGTGGACATCTGAGGTCAAATCTGGAGGCTATTAATGTAATAAGAAGAGTTATTAAGAACTGTCTATATATGTAATAGTTATTAGCTAAGTGGAAGACATATCTTTAGTATGTGGGACTCATAGAACAAGAACATTTAACTTAGTGGTCACTCTGTATTCAGTAATTTAACAAACATTCACTGAGATCCACACCACATTCACTGTGGTGACCAAGATAGCCCTGGGCCCTGGCCTCACAGTCCTGGGGGTGGGGAGACAGATATTAAATAAACCATTGCACAAATAGATGCATGCTACACATTGTGATAAACATAGAAAGTGGTGAGGAAGATTACGGGGTGGGGAGTCCTACCTCACCTGGGGTATCAAAGAAGTCTTCTCTGAAGAGGTGTCATTAGATCTGGATTCAGCTAAGTGAAGTACAGAGGGAAGGGTGCTCTAGAGAGAGGGATCAGCATGTGCAATGGCCCTGAGGCAACATAGAGCTTGTCCTGTTTGAGGATCAAAGGCAGGCAGTTCTGACATGGGGGAGTGACTAAAGGAAAGGACACAGATGAGACTGAAGGTAGCAGAAGCCTTATTGTGCAGGACTTTGAAAGCTACAGAGAGGAGAGTGGGCTTTATTGAAGGACATTTTTAAAAGATCCGACTTTGTGGGGGCATCCTTGGTGGTTTGGCTTATTGCTTCAACCTTGGCACCAAGAAACAGGGCCTGGCATGTACAATGAAATATTATAACCTGGAGCTGACTGCCTGGCTCCACCACCTCCACACTGGGCCACCTCAGTACCATGTTACCGTAAAAGCTAAGATGCTACAGCACAAAATACCATGAGTTAAAGAAGACATAGGGTCTGACGTGAGCAGTATAGGCAGGTAGGGCAGGCCCTGGGTGTTGTCTTGCTTTTCATGGTTGAATCCAAGACATGGCACATCCATCTGCCAGTTCACGGGGAGAAGGGGAAGGAGATCCCATCTAGGCCAAGTCACCTCCATGCAGCGAGGTGGGCATTATGCCCATCACACTGTTCTTTTCCCATTGGGGACTTGGTCTGGACATGGGGGGTGCTGCTGGGATAATGCAGCCTCTGGCTGGGCAGCTCCAGTCCTATTTCATGAGGGATGGGAAGGATGGATTTTGCTGGACAACTGGCTGCCTATACCTCTTAGCCTTAGTTTCCTCACTGCAAATTGGATATAATAACCTCATAGGGATCTTGCAAAGTTAAATGGGTTAATAAATACTAATATTAACAAATATTCGAACAGTTGTTGTTCCTAAGCAATTATTTGATGATGCCATGCAGCTTAGAAAATTAAGTACTACCCTGTTGTTGGGAGTTACTTCATCTACAGACAAAGAGATTCTACTATCCGTCCCTCTGAGGTGGACGCCATGAAGGTCCTCATTTCAGAGGTGTGCAAACTGAGGCTCAGCTATAAGGACCCTTGGGGTCCCCCAGGCCTGCCTGACTCTTTCCTGCTACCCCCAGAGCTGTCCTGGTTCCAGACAGTTGGGGAGTCAGCTCTGGGGGTGGAGACTTTCTCCTACCAAGGAGAGCCTCACATCATCCTGGCTCAGCCCTTTGCAGGCCGCTGCCTGATCCTCGCCTGGGACTACAGCCTGCAGCGTTTCCGGCCTGAGGAAGAGCTGTCAGGTGAGGTCTCCTTGCCTCCTCCCACACGCCCAGTGGCCTGCCTGGCGGGCCTGACCTGCCCTCCTGTTCCCTGACTCCCCCACAGCGCCCTCAGTGGTGTCCTGCAAGCCGCTGGTGCTGGGCCTGCGCTTCTTTGTGCTGGCTGCTCGCCTGTGGGGAGGCTCCCAGCTGTGGGCCCGGCCCAGCCCCGACCTGCGGCTGGCCCCGATGCAGGCTCTGGCCCCGCAGCGGCTGCTGCGGCCCAATGACGCCGAGCTCCTGTGGCTGGATGGGCAGCCCTGCTTCGTGGTGGCTGATGCCTCCAAGGCAGGCAGCACCACACTGCTGTGCCGTGACGGGCCAGGCTTTTACCCGCGCCAGAGCCTGCACCCCTGGCACCGGGACACAGACGCCGAGGCGCTTGAATTGGATGGCCGGCCCCATCTGCTGCTGGCCTCCGTCTCGCAGCGGCCCGTGCTCTTCCACTGGTTTGGGGGCCGCTTCGAGAGGCGCACGGACATCCCCGAGGCTGAGGACGTCTATGCCACACGCCACTTCCAGGCTGGTGGGGATGTGTTCCTGTGCCTGACACGCTACATCGGGGACTCCATGGTGAGGCTGGGTGCAGTCAGGTGGGGCAGGCAGTGGAGACTACTCCCAGCCAGGGCTGGTTTTTCAGTGCTGACCGCACTTTGCTCACCAGCCTCTAAACTCTGACCCAGCCTCACAGGCTGACCTTCACACTTCAACAACACCTAACATACTGATATTTGATCTCTGATCCTATCCCAGCACTGACTCCAAGACTGTGACCCTTCAAGGCTGGCTGACCCTAAACCGCTCCCATCCCTCAACACTGACACCAGCCCCAAGATTCTGACTCTACCCCCAAACCCTCATTCTATGACTCTGGCACATTCTAGGACTTACATTTGACCACACTCTGAACCCCCAAGGCTGACAGCCCACACACTCCCGCACTCTCTTTCTAGAGTGAGGTGTGTTAGGGGAAGCGCTCTGAGCCTTGACGGCAATGATCTGACTCAGGCCTTCACGGGGGCGTCGGTATAGAGAGCTGACTGTAGGCACAGGGAGGGGAGCAGGGAGACCAGGGAGGAGACTGCTGTGAGTTTGGGGACCTATAGGCCTCTGCTTCCAAGCTGGTCCAAGTCCTCTGAAGCCTAGAGGGCCATCAGCCCTATGGATCCCAAGCCCTAAGCAGCAGTCACACTTTGCAGGTCATGCGCTGGGATGGCTCCATGTTCCGGCCGCTGCAGCAACTTCCCTCGCGGGGTGCCCACGTCTTTCAGCCACTGCTTATTGCCAAGGACCAGCTGGCTATCCTGGGCAGTGACTTTGCATTCAGCCAGGTCTTCCGTCTTGAGCCTGACAAGGGGCTCCTGGAGCCGCTGCAGGAGCTGGGGCCCCCAGCCTTGGTGGCCCCCCGTGCCTTCGCTCACATCACCATGGCGGGCAGACGCTTCCTCTTTGCAGCTTGCTTCAAGGGCCCCACACAGATCTACCAGCATCATGAGTTAGACCTAAGTGCCTGAGACGACCGTGGACACAGCTGCCGTGTGGAGTCCTAGTCTTCTGGACATCCCCCTGTCTGGACTCCTGGCCATACTTGGGGTGAAGTCTGCTCCTGGGAGATACTGACCACAGGCCAAGTTTAAGGCAAGAGCTGCACTTTCAGTCTTAAGCAACATCTTTGCTGGGGCGCAGATACCTGCCCACCAAGCGTGACTTAGGGGCTCAGGCTAGGGCACTAAAGGGAGCCGGAATACAGAAGTCATAGTGGGGGCAATGTGCAGAGCTCCATGAGGTCTGGAAGCACCCCTCTCAACCCAGTCCCACCCCTCCTGCTCCCTGTGAAGTACAGAAGAGACAGCTTCCTTCTTCCCTCTAAACTCAATTCCACCAATCGCTTTTTGTACCCTCCTCCACCACGTGACCAGTCGCTGGGCGGTGTTCCCTGCAGGGCTTACTAACTTCCTTTGCTGCTTGGGCGAGTGCCTGTTGCGGAGGGGGAAGCCTAGCATGCCATCCGTTTGCGCGTGCGCGGGGGTCGGAAAAGCAGAACCTTTTTGCAGGGACCCTCCCCAGTGAGGGACAGGAGCAAAGACGGAAAGTGTATGAGCTCAATAAATGTGCTGTGCACTCGCCCCACTCGTTGTTGTGGGGTCATTGGTAAAGGGTGTCCCCTGAGTGGCTTGGGGGAGGGGAGCAGTGATGTCCCAGAAGCAGTACGGTGGAGGGAACAGGTTCCAGAGTGCATTTTGGCTGCCCCTGGTGAGCTTTGGCGAAGTCTCTAAGGACAGTGAGCTCATGATTATGGGACTTTACGGGATGTTTAAGGGATATAAGGGCATTACTAGGGGACAGGTCACAGGTTTATTGTGGGTGTCTTGAGGTCATGCCTTAGGGCACTGTAAGGCATATAATACAAGTATTACAGTATACCCTGTAATACTTACTGGGTATTTTGGGGGTATTTTGAAGGGTTTCAGGAATTTTATGGTTTGGCTCTTGGGGACCTAGTGTAGGGCTAAGGGAGTTTGGGGCTCCTCAGAGATTTTCACACCGTATGACCATTTTCTATTATTAGGAGTATCCTGGGAAATTATTTAAAGGTCTCACAGGGACATTTGGGTATTAGAAAGGTCTTCCTAATAAAGTGGAGTCTCAGGGGTGAGTGGAGGGTCGTAGTGGTCTTACTATTAAAATCATAAGCTATCTGGGTACTCATGTCATGGTAGGATGATCCCACACCCCAGTTTTCCTGGGATGGTCCCAGTGTCTACCCGAGTGTCCAGCATTCCATCTGGTTAGAGCTCACTTTTGGTCCCAAAAGTGCCCCCATTTGGCTACTAGAAAATTTTGAATTGTGCATGTCGCTCTCATGGCCATAGAGGCTGGAAGTGGACCCCATGCCATTCACCAGGTATGATAGGCCTTTGGGCTTTTCCCAGCAAGGGATTCAGCTACCAGCATCTATGCCAGCCCCCGGTGTGTGTCCGCCTTCTCCTGGCTCCCCAAAGCCCACCCCAGCACACACAGAGGGCATCTTGAGGCTACTTGGGTAGGAGGCAAGATCATTTTAGATTGAAAGTGGAACAAAAAGATGCCTCCCGTGAGAGCCGTGGCGAAGCCCTGGCAAGGCAGGCTGAGGAGAGAAGGGGGAATTCCATCTTGGAGTCCAGGGTCCTTTGCAGAGCCAGGGCTTGGAGAAAGAGAGAGGCCTCTGTGCCCTTCCACCTGATCTGTCCTCAGCAGTTATGGGTAGAGCCTGGGAGAGGTGATGGGGTCAGCCATGAGAGAGAGCCAAATTCTTTCTCCCCAGAGCATGTTTGCATGCACACTTGTGTGCACACACATACACCTTACATTCTGTGCTCCCCTCAGCCCCGACCCGTCCCTGTATTACCTGGAGTGATGAGAGGTGGCGAATCCCCTGGCCGGTGGCTAGGGAAAGAAAAGTGATGAGACCAGGGTCCACCCCATTTGTCCTCTGCCTCAGGCCACTTGCTCATACACAACTTCCTGATAATTTTTTCCATCATTGGGTTGGACCAACCCAGGGAACAAAGGTTTTCAGAATCTGGGGCCCTCTGAGGATTATTGGCTCTGAAGAATAAATCTGGGAAACCTTAGTGGCTAACTGGTTCACCCCTGAAAGGTGTCTGCCTAGCATGAGACAGGCATGCTAGGAACCTGTCTTACCTGGGCTTCTGGCCAAACTTGCATTTGCATTTCCCACCTGTCCAGGGGAAGGGGGCTGGTTGGAGGAAGGAACCCACAGCCCTGCCCTGCGCATGCCCCCGCCAGCCCCTCCACTTACTCATGAGGACGATGAAGCCGAAGGTGCAGAGAACTGCTGCACAGATAAGCCCCCCGACCCGGAGGCTGTGCCAGTCTAGGAGAAACCCAGAGGGGCTCTCAGTGCCCGCCTGCATCTGCCCCATCCAAACCCCAACCACTCAGCAAATAGGCATTGGGTACCTGTGATATAGCAGTGGAGAAAACAGACAGACCCCTAGCCCTCCTGTGCTCACATTCTGGTTCACACATGAGCAAACGACAAGAGGTTTCACGGAGGGTCAGGTGGAGATAAGCAGTCTGAAGACAAATAAGCAGGACCAGTGGACAGAAAGTCAGAGGGTGGCTCTTTGAGGGACAGTAGTCAGGGAAGGCCTCTTGGAGGGGCCACATTTGAGCAGAGACCTGGGGGGGTGAGGGAGGGAGCCATGGGGCTATCTGGAAGGAAGCATTCCAGGCAGAGGGATCGGAAGGTACCGAGTTCCAGAGGCTCGGAGTGTGTCTACTGTGTCTCCGCACAGCAGAGAGGCCAGCGGGCCAGAGCAGAACTAGTGAGGAGGAGTGGGAAGAGTGGGGACAGAGGAGCAACGGGAGCAGATCGCATGGCCGCAGGAGCACTTGGGCCAAATAGCTCACCTCCTCCAGGCAGTCTTCTCAAGTCAGGCCTTCTCTAGCGGCTGATTTGAACCATAACAGCAGCGTCTTGTGAACTGTCCTGCCTTCCTGTGTGTGTCTGACTACCTTGCCGGAAGAGTATCTACCCGAGGACCAGGCTGGCACTCGTTCCCTAATCCTTTGTGTCCACTGTGCAATGTCCCGACCCAGACCCTTCCTGTCCTCACCCTGTTTCACCCGCATCAGACCCTCACCCCACCCTGTGTGGGGCACTTGGCACAAAATAAGATGAGAGGGCAGGGTGGGGGAGGGGAGGGAGTGAAGGGAGCTCTCACCATAGTAGAAGGGACTGTTTTTATCTGTGAGGAAAGAAAAATGAACATGAAGCCAGGGCATGAATCCAGCTGGGAGGCAGGGGTCCCGGGGAAGAATCTGGGGGTGGGCTCTGGAAGGAGTCCAGCCTAACTCACCTTCTGGGTCATTGGCGGCCAGGGCAGGCAGGCCTGCGGGGAGAAGCATGGAAGGGGAGGAGATGGTGATGCTGGGGGGCCACAGAGCCTCAGGGGCTGCAGCTGGGGTCCCCCACAGGACAGTTCCCCACCTCCCAGGGGCACAGCCTTCCAGCCCCAAGCTAGCTGTCTCTGCATGTCCCATCTCAGAGATGTGGACTCCCCAACTCAGCCCCACACCTGCAAGCCACGCCAGCATTTTGCCTCCTGAAATAGGTTTAAATCGGTGGCTTTTGGCCGCCCTTGGGCCTAATGGTTCCAGACCCCTGGCTAATCCGCACCTCCTGCAGAAACAAAGCAGTGTTCTTGTCAAGATGACAGACGGTATCAGCTCCTTGGTCACTCTCAGAGCTCGTGTCCTGATTCTGCCACATCCACGCCTACCCCATACCCACTTCCTGGTGTTTGCTCACCATCCCCTTTAAAGCAACTTACTGATTAATTATAAACTTAATACACTTTATTTAAAAATGGAACTTTACATTCCTGGATGGAATACCAATCAAGGCCAATGTAACAGATAAAAACAAATACAATGAAAGCAAAGGACTTGCATTAAATTCTGGTTCAAAGCAGTGGGCTGCCTTGGCCAGGGATCTAATCTCTGTCCTTTGTTAAAGGGAGATTGATCATTTTTAATGATAATGAAAGCATGAACACCTAGTGCTTACCCTGTACCAGGCACTGTTCTAAGTCCTTTTCAAATACTAACTTGTTTAATCCTCACAACAAGTAGACTCTCTGTAAGTAGGTGCTATTATTGTCCTCATTTTTACAGATGGGGAAACTGAGGCACAAAGGGTTTTGGTAACTTGCTGCATAATCACTTAGCACCTGAGTCTTCTCAGTGTCATTGTGGAGACACCAAGGTGATGACTTTCTAGCTGTATGAACTGCTGCTGGAAGAGGTGTGGCCCTTGAAATCGCCAGGGGGACACTTCTTACCCTCAAGGAGATGCTATCCGGAGAGGCACCACCCCGCAGGGGAGGCAGAAAGTAAGAGAGAGAGGCGGGCAGGGCTTGGCCACTGTTCAGTGGAAGGGGTTCAGGGGAGAGGCAGTCCAGGGGACAGACACTCACTTGCCAGGAAGATGAGCAGGCTCAGGACCACCTCTTGCATGTTGGATGGCTGGCCTGGGACCGGGGGTGGGAGAGTCAGCTTTAGTAGGGATGCAGGCCGAGTGCCTCTGGTTCCTAATGCCCTCCTACTGTGCTTCCCAACCAGGGTGCACTGCTTGCCCTGGGGCAGAAGGCTGGCAGAACTCACTGGGCTGAGAGATAAGGAGTGGTGGGGTGCACGGGGGGCTGGGTGAGAAACTCAGGTCTGATGTGGGAGCAGGGTACTCACCACGGGCAGGGGCACCACTCGAGGCTTTAAGGGAATTGCCCTAGCCACCAAATGAGAGAGGCATGGCCTGCTGTTGTCCCCATCATACAGATGGGGAAACCGAGGTTCTGAGAGGTGAACGTGGGTGCCCAGAGTCACCTTGCCAGGAAGCAGGATTTGAAACAAGCCTGGCTCTGCAGAGTTGCTGCTAACACAAGCCTCTCAGGGCCTCAGGGTGTTTTGGAAAGTGGGGTGTTGGGAGCCAGGTGGCAGGAGGCCCAGGCTCCTGGGAGTGTCTCCCATAGACAGCTCAGAGCCTGCCTGCCCTGCCCAGACCTCACAGACCTTGGGCTGGGCAGGGGCAGGGGACTGAGCTGTTCCTCAGGTGCTCGGGGCAGGCTGCAGGGAAGACAGACCTGGAGGCTGGGATGGGGGAGGAGGGTCACACTTGGAAGAAGGCTCAGCCTGGCTGCAGCCCCAGCCCCATCCTCCGTCCCTCCTGCACTCCATTTCTGCCCATCCACCCATCCACCCCAGTCTCTGGTCCTGCCTCCCCCCAGGCTCAGCCGCTGCCCCTACCCCAACCCTTGCCAAGCTCCTCCTGGCAGCAAACACTTCCTCTCTCCCAGGTAGGCCTGCCTAGCATGAAGCGCACTTCTCATCCCCTTCCTGGTCGGGTGTGCGTCCACCCTGCCACCAGCCTGTGTGCCTGCCATAAGCTCCCAGTCTCTGTGTGCCCCCCTGCCCCTGTCCACCACCATACGCACTCCTTGTCAACATCTTGATAGCAAGAGCTAACATTTGCTGGCATCCACCCTGTGCTGGGCACTGGGTGCTAGGCACTGCCACATGACCTTGCTGTGTTCTCACTCCTTTAATCCTCAACCCGGAGTGATTGGTTATATCCTCCATTACACCAACAGCAAAACACACAGCCTCCCTCAGTCTGGTAAAAAGCCATCTGACATTCCCAGCTGTGTCCCCGCGGAGGTGCCCGTCCACAGCTTGAGACAGTGCCCCAGTCCTCCATGTAACCCCCACCCCATTTCTGTTTCCTGCACATTCGCAGACTCCTCCACCTTCCTGCGCCCACCCCAGGTCCTGGGCATCCTCGTGGCCCCCTTGTTAAGCCTACATGCTGAACTCATAATTTTAGTTTGAAGCATTCATTTCATGCAGGAAGAGGTCCTGTAGCTTTGGGGAGCATTACTAAGGTATTTAAGACCCTTAAAATCGGGAGAGAGCTGGTGTGGGTGTGTGGGCAGGACAGCCCGGTGGTTCTGGGCATAGGTCTGTAGAACGACCACCCATTGTCTAAAGCTACCCTGTGAGGCTGTCACCCTGCAGTGCTGCTAATACTAGTAGTAAGAACTAGATATTATTGCGTGTTTCCCCCGCGCCAGCACTGTGCTCATCTCCTTGCGCTCACTCACACCTTTGCAGCTTGATGAAGTTGGTGCTATGATGATCCCACGTTGCTGTCGCAACCCTGCAACCCCTGTGAACTCAGTCCAATGCCCTATACCATCCCCTGGGACCCAGAGTTTCAGCTCTTACGCCTCTTTCGTGGGCTCCTCCAAGCCCGGTGGCCAGCGAGGACTCCCTGACTCCCCGTCCTCAGCATCCCAGCACAGGGGAGACTGATGGGGGGTCTCAGTGGTGCCGCAGCCCCTGCACCACGGATGGGCTGCTGGGGGCCCGGGGCCTGGGCTCTGCCTTCACTTTCCCCATCAGGCGATTGTTGGGGCTGCTCCGGAGCTGACTGCAGCTGGTGTGAAAGCTTGGGAGGAAGATGGCTCTGCCCACCGCATCGGCTCTTTCCTGGCCCGGGAGGGCCCAACAGCAGTGCGAGGACTGCTTTCCCATCCGTTGCTCCATGAGAGTGGCTGGGCCCTTCAGCCATGTGCAGAACGATGCCCCACACCCCGAAATCTCCTACCCAATTCCCCTTTTACACCTTCCAGGGAACCACCACCCACTTTTCCCCAGAGGTCTCTAGGACCCACATATCCCCAATCCCTAGATGCCCCAAGTCCACCCAGTCACCTGCCATTCACTCTGATGCCCCCAAGCCAGCCCTGGCCCACCTAGATACCCCAACCCACCCAGGTACCCCTCTCTACCCTGTCTCCCCAGAAAACCCCAGTCCAGATGCTTCTGGTCCACTCAGACACCTCAGATCTACCCAGACACCCCAATCCCACTTGTGGGCCTTACCCTTACCCAGCCAGCTCACCCAGCCCCCCTGAGGGAATGATGGGGGTAGGACCACATTAGAGGAGAACACTTTCTCTCATCTCCCTCCCTTGAGGGGAAGTTTCTAGGGTCTTTTACTGAGAGCAGTGGGGGGAGGGGAAGGGATGGTTTGGGGACTGGGTCAAGTTGGAGGGAGGGGGCCCTGGCCGCTCACCTGTGTGGCTCCCCAGGTTGTGCGGAGGTTCCGGGAGAGAGTGGGGCTGCTAAGCTCAAGTCCTACCTTTATCTGCAGCTGCCACGCCCTAAGCAAACCCCGGCAGGTAGAGAACAATTCAGACTCCCTAAAGCTCAGGAGCTACTCACCCCATTCCTGCTCTTAAAGAGACAGCCCCCCCTCCTTCCTCAGTGACAGGAGAGATCCCTGGCCGCTCAAAGGTCAAGGCAGCCTCAGGTGAGGCAGAAGGAGAATAGGATGGGATGGAACTCTGCCCCTTAAATCGGGGGAGGGCGCTCTCTCCAGTCTCCTGCCCCTCAGAAAAGGACCTGCAAGGGGGAAGGTTGGGGGCTTCAACAGCAGAGCTTACGTCTGGTGGGGGGTGGGAAGTGATGGCTTGGTGTCATAACCTAATTTCTTTTACTTCAGTCCTGTGTTGTGCCTGGAGGAGGGATTGTGGAGATTATGGGAGATCTGAAGTCCCCTTCCAGGCCACTTGTCGCTGTTGACACAGTTTGAGGGTGAGCAGAAGATACTGATATGACAAGGTCATGAGGGGGCATGGGGGGTGCCTGGGGAGTAGGGGTGGGGGCCGCGTCTGCTGGACCTTAGACTATACCCTCTCCCCCATCGAGCTCTAGGGAGGCAAGAAACTGATTCCTAAGCACCAGACAGACCTTCCTAGCCCGGCGCCTTCTCAGGGGTGCTGGATGCCTGGGTCCAGGCAGTGGGTGTTGGCACAGGGGCTGCCTCCCACTCCGGATGAGGCCTCTGTGCAAGGTTCCCTTCCCCTCCCTCCTCCCTCTCCTGTTCCTCCTCCTCACGGCATTCCTTCTGGCTAGGGTCTGTGCAGGCCCCCACATCATCCTGGTTGGGGTGCCCCCTCCCCCCAATTCCGCCTTTTTAGACAGAGGGACTTTTGTCTGGGGGCTGGATGAAGAACAAGGCGCCTTTGAGTGGCTGGCGGAGGATTGGGGTCACGGGGAGGGGCAGGGCCAGGAAAGGGGTGGCTCTGCCCTGGCCACCAGCTGGACTCCAGGCGACCCCCAGCACCATCTCCAGGGTGGGGAAAAGGATCACAAGAGCCAGGCCAGGGAGAGGGTACTATGGGGAGTGTGCAGTGCAGGACAGGGAAGGTGGTTTCAAGGTCAAAGCTCTGCTCTGGGCTGGGAGAAAGGATCCCCCACTTCCCAGCAGGGAGGGGCGGGGAGGGGTCGGGGGCCAAGGAATGTGCACCCAGATACCTGCTTTCTTTATGTGGTTCCCTTGGGCAATTTCTCAATCCCAGGCCCTAGACTAGGACAAGCCCTCCCCCAGCCCCCATTAAGGAAGGGCCAGTCTCTGCAAGGAGTGGAGGGGCACTTAGGGTGGGGTCAGTCAAAGAGAAAGGTTCATGGGAGGGAAATAGAAACAGAATAATGGGCGGCCTGGTGGGAGAAGATCCCAGTCCAGCTAAAGGGGGGTCTTTGTGTCTAGGCAGATAGCACACTTGCCCAGACATCTCAAGAGCACAGGGTGCCTGCGAAGAACCCTGCGGTGGTTTGGGGAGCTTAGTGTCTCCCTCTGCTGGAAGTTATAGGAACTGCAGAGATTCGGAAGCAAGAAGGGGCCTAGGGCTCAGTGGTGAGGGATGCTGTCCTTTCCTGTGCCAGCGTCCAGTAACTCAGGTGCCAGAAAAGGGGACAGGCAACAGTCGTGAACAAGTGAAGCAGGACAGGCATGAGACTATAAGGCCCAGCGGCAACTGGGCAAACAGGAAAACTATTATCCTGCCTAAAAGGCAGTCCTGAAAGACGGAAGCAAGCTCGTGTAGACAGGCACAGAGGTATCTCCCAGACATATTGCTATGAGAAAAAAGCAAGATTAGAGCAATAGGCTACCATTTGTGAGGGGAAAAATTGATGTGTATGCATATATTTGTATATGGATGAAATATCTTTGGAGATTGACACCCCTGGTTGCTTCTGGGAAGGGGCACTGAGGGGCTGGAGGATGGGGTTGGAGGGAGACCCACTTATCATAAACCCTCTTGTACCTTTTGAATTTCATATCCTGTAAGTGTACTACTTTGGAAAATACTTTAATTAAAAGAATTGAAGGATAGCCTCCACACAGTTTCAGACAATTGCTGCTGTATTTTCAACTGATGTCAAAAACCTAAATCTTTATGTAGAATTCCCTCAGATTTTTAAAACATTTTGCAAGTCAAAAAAAAAAAAACCCAGAAGCACACACACACACCTAAGGGCTGGCTTTAGCCTAGCAACCACCAAGAAGACTTCCACCAATTTCATTTCCTGAATCTTTAATTGCCATGGTCTTGCATTTGCATATACAGATGTTTATGGGGCTCATACCCAACCCAGGCCAACTAAAACTTCCTCCTGGGGCTGTACCAGAATATGCCACATCCCAAGTGTGTGTTGGGCTGGGGCCTCTGGCAGGGAGAGGCAGGACTCAGACCCTCAGCTGGGTGGGTGAGGGTGTGCACACTGAGACGCTGGTGAGGGTCTGCAGGGAGCAGGGGATGGGGACATGCAGCCACCTGCATCCTGTTGGAGGTTGGACCTCTTTGGGGGTGAGTCTTCCAGGCCAATTTGACTTCGGTCATATTTAAAGCATGCCCACTTATTCTATGGAAAAATAATCTTTTTTATAAAAATGTTATCCATAATATATACAGATAATAAATATGATATATACATTTATATTTGTAGTTAATGTTGAATTTAATAGGTAAATATAAATTTATATTTTAAATATTATATTATAAATAAATACTATATATGGGATAATAAAATCCTTTGGATATTTCCCCTTCATTTTGCTCTTGGACTCATTTGCCCCTGAAGAACCTGCTGCAGCTGTGATTAGCTGTGATTTCTCAGTATCCTGGGAATTCTTGCAAAATGAGAAAACCAGACCTACAGAGAGTTTCTAAACCTCACAAAGTTTTCAGGAATGCTAAATTCAAGTGCAAAATCAAGGCCATAGGGTGTTATGTCATCACTGATTCAAAGTCTTACTAACTTTGGTTTTGCCATTTACTTTTGCTACTCAGGGGTCAGCAATTTTGTTGTTCTTCCTTTAAGGCTGTGAATGTTTCTTCAGGCTCCTGGAAAAATTATAGACCCTAGATCAGCCAGCCTGGGGTGTGGGAACTGGAGGCACCCCAGTCCATGAGTGGGGCTCTGGATGGGCCAGGGCCCCGTCTTCCCAGGAACAGGCTGAGAAGAGACCGGCTTGCTGGGGAGGTGTGGTCACAGCAACGCTCCAAGCTCCTACTTCCTGGGCAAGACAGATGCCAGCAAGTGTGGGCTGCTGGAGCTCTTCAGAGCTGCTCCCTGTGGCCTCACAACTCAGCATCTGTGGGAGACAAGCAGGAGCTGGCAGGTGGCCCTGTCCTGCCACTTTGGGGGTGTGGCTATGAGCATGTTGCTGTCTGCTTGGCTTCTGGGAACCACATGATGTGCCATACAGGGCAGCCTAGGGTATACAGGCCCCTTGACATCTGCCCTCTGGGTTGTTCTAATGTCATCACCCACCAAGAGAAGCTGGAAATGTTGATATGATGAAAAAGTCTCCTGCTGTTTAAATGTTGGTAACTGATTTCCTCAACACTTTATGGACCAAATGAAATGTATCCAATGGTTGGATCAGGCCCTGCCACCAGTTTGCATCCCCCATCTTAGAGACTAGGCAAGCTGGGGGAAGGTTCAGGTCCCCTAGCCCCCATCATTATGCTGCTCCAGCCACTTCAGCCTCCTTCTATCCCTGGAACATTCCAGGCATGTTTCTTCCTCAGGGCCTTTGCAATGGCTGTTGCCTCTGTCTGGGATTCTTTTCCCACATGTTAGCATAGCTCATTCCCTCATCTTCTTCAAGTCTTGGCTCAAGCACCCACTTCTCTTTGACCTTCCCTGACCTCCAATTAAAATCATACCCACCCTCCATTCCCTTATGACATCTATCTAAAGCATATTCTAGGAAACTCTCCTCACTCTTGTACTTACCTGCCTTCCCTGCTAGCTTCTAAGGATTTTCATCTTAATGGTAGAACAATGCCTGGCACATAGTTGGTGCCCATGAAGTATTTCTTACATAGTAAGAGAAAGGTGTTCTCACCGCACCCCCCCCCCACAACCACAGAGGCCTCAGAGGTGGGGGTGGTGAGGGCAGAGCTGCTCACGGGGGGTGGGTGGGCATGGAGGACCACATTTGATGGCACGCCTAGAACAGTTTCTTTATCACCCGAGGAGAGGCCTTGGGTTGACGGCTGGGGTCCTGGGTGCGAGCAGGAAACGACAGGCTACACATCTCCAATGGGGGCTTGGGGTTCAAGGAGGAAGGAACCCTGCAGCCCCTCCCAGCCTGTCTCAGTCCTAAGACAAGGATCTCAAACTGGCGGCCCCACGGCCAAACCCAACTATCGCAAGTGTTTCCTTTAGTTCATAAAGTGTTGCAAAAATCGACAGTTGCCAACATTTAAACATCAGGATATTTCAACATAACGTTTGCACTTCCAGCTGCTGGTGGAAGACTCGGCCTACATGGTCCCACCTTTCTTTCTTGGCAGGAATTGTTGGAGGGGTGGGTCTGCCTCTCCAGAGTGACCCAGGCCCCTTCTTCCCTTGGTTTGAGGCTTCCAGAGAGGGAGGGAGGACAAGGGAGACCCACAGTTGCTCTGCCCTCAGACCTGCTCTTGCCATCTCCACCTCAGGCTCACCCTGAGCCTGTGGGGCCCCTGTTACAGCCCAGGCCCTGGACAGATGTATCCTGGGGGGTCGGTTATGGAGGAAAGATTCCCAGGTCTTTCATCCTGGGTCCACCTGCAGTGTGAGGAAAAGGCACAAATAAGGCAAAGCTTGGTCACGTTTTGTGACTCCATTAAGGCTTTGATGTCAACTAACATAGAAGAATGAGTTTTTCAAAACGCCTGTGCAAAGAAGGGCAGGGCATTTCTGAGGTGCAAGAAACTCGGAAAAAAATAGTAATGGTACAGATCTAGAGATAAGGCAAATGAGGCAAAAGTATTAAGAACCAGTGAATATCTGTGAATATTCTAAAAATATTAAGAATTGGTGAATTTGGATTTATTGTACTGTTTATGTAGTTTTTCTGTAGTTAAAAAAATGCTAAATAAAATTTGGGGAAATCAAAGATTTTTAAATTAAAGTTACCATAAAATAATAAACCACAAAATAAAAAACAACAGCAAAATAATGAAGGAAAAAGCAAGCTCAGAACCGTGTAAACTAAAAGTTAAACAATTTAATTTGACTTAGGAAATTATGTATTTATGTATATGGTATGTATTATATATTGCTATTATATACACATATTTTTTCCTTCGGGTAAAAGCCTGTGTTCTTTTCTTTGCCCACCTGGTGCCTCACTGCAGAACAATGACTTCCTGTTCCTATTCCCTGTCCCTGACTCCTGGGGACCCAGCTCTAACCCCCAAGCTGTGGGGGCCTTAACCCCTCCTGGCTCCCCAGCCTCCACCTGCAGGGGCCCTGAGGCTCTGAGGCTGGTGCTAGGGCTGGCAGGCTTCTGCCTGGCTGCAGAGGCAGGGAGATGAGTCTGCAGTTCTAAGAGCTCCGCTGGCACGTGCAGCCATGCGGAGGTCCTGGCTGCCGAGCCCCAAGTCTCTGCATGCCCAGCCCCCTTCCCTCTGCACTTTGACATCCAAGAAGGTAGTGCTGAACCCAGCCAGGGCCAGCTCCACCCCCGGCACTTCCCTGAGTCATCTACTCTGCTGTCTCTGTCTACTTTCAGCGAACATTTTTAGTGTATGCAGCTACAGGACCTGCTGCCTGCTAGGCCGGCGTCATCTTCCTGTGCAAGAATCTGGCACAGAGGGCTGCAAGTCACACAGTTAATTAGGGGTCAGAGTTGGGATTCCAAGCCAGGTTGTTGCATGCACGCATGCGTGCGTGTGGGGGGGTTGGGGGGGGGGAGGTTGTAACAAAAGGACAATAGGCCTCCACAAAACTCTGAGAGTCCTAAGAGCAGACAGCATGTTAGAAGAGGGAATTCAACCCCAGACAATATTTCCAGAACCAACCACTCCTCCCCTCCACTGCCCCAACTTAGCCTGGCTCCACCTTCTCCCTCCAGGACACCAGGCAGCTCTCCTGCTCCCATCCTGCCCCCCTGCAGTCTATTCCCTATTCCCCACACACAGTCTGAGGGTCCGGGTCAGGTCAGGGCCCCCCTGGCTCAGAGCCCTCCCCTGGATGCATCTCACTCCTGGTAAAAGCAAAGTCCTCACCATGACCCATGACTCATAAGTCACTCCTCTATGTGGTCCCCGTCACCTCTCTGACCTTACCATCTCCTCCCCCTCAACTCCTCACTCCCTTGCTCACGCAGCCCCAGCCCTGCCGGCGCCCCTCCTGCCTCTCTGACACACTAGGTACCCTTCTCCACCTCCAGACACTTGCACTTGCTGAGACAGGGACCGTGGGTGTAGTCAAAGTAGGGTGAGGGCCTCTGGAAGAAGACCCCTACCAAAACTCCATATTAAACAATTAAGCAAAGACAGAGTTACATTAATTCTCTAAAGTAAAATATCAAACTAGGAATATAAACCTTCTTCAGTGAGATTAATTAAAACTGAAAAGCCAGGAGTAACTTAGCCTGGAATGTTTGAACATCTCCCAGATATGAAAATACCTCAGCATAGCCCATGTCTTGTTTGTGTCAATTAAAGGAGGCTATTGTAAAATCTACTTCAGCCTGCTAAAAGGCCCAGTTTATCTTTAACTTTACCCAGATGCTGCTTTTCCTCCTCCAGCCCTAATCAAGTCAGTAACTCAGCTCACCTTGAAAGCAAAGCAAGCAGCCTTGACTGACACACTCCCAAACCAAGAAACTACTACTATGAGAAAAGATCAAAGCAATAAATTTCTTATGTTAACTCTGCAAAATAGTCCGGAAGACTGATAAGAAACTTAGTGTCTCTTTAAAGATAAACATTTAGAGACCATCTGGTGGGTCTGCATTCCTAGCTCTTTGTCTCTCAACCGCCTATAAATCCCCTGGACAAGGCACCACTACCAGCTCTTTTGTCCGCTCCTGGCCCACGCCAGGAGCTCTGTTCTCTCACGGTATCTCTCAACGAAAGCCCCTCCCTAGCTCTCCTACTCCGCAAACAAGAACCCCAGCATCATTGCCATGGCCTCCACTGGACTCATCCTTCTCACAGCTGGGCACATGAGTCCCTACCTCATCTCCTTTCTTTGGGCTATGCTCAAACATCACCTCCTTGTTGAGGCACTCCATGGTCACTTGATTTACAACCTTATCTTCCTGCTGAAAACATCTGTCCCCCCCCCATTCTCTCCTCTATTTTTTTCTGTAGCATTAGCCCATATCACCCCCTGACATGCTGTATAATTATACATTTATTGGTTATATTTATTGTCTCTCTCTTCTCTGGAGTGTCAGCTCCAGGAGAGGCGGGACCTTGGCTATTCCATTCCCTCTGTCCCCAGCACTGAGCACAGGATCTGGTACATAGTAGATGCTCTGGAAATATTTGTTGAGTGAATGAATGAAACCAGTCGTGAGAATTACTATATCCCAGGCCCCATAACAGACAAATCTGGTACCTCACTCTCCTTAAGTAGATCACATTTTGGAGGCACACAGTAGGTCCACGGGTGGAGAGGGAAGGAAATCAGAGCCAGGAAGCCTAGCTCCACCCTCTCTCGCTGTGTGACTTCAGGCAAGCAAGTCTCCCTTCCTGGGCCTCAGTTTCCCCATCTGTGTGTTGGGGATAAGAATAGCACTCACCCTGCAGGGCTGCCCTTTGGATTCAATGGGGTTTTTGTGTGGGATGCTGACAGTGTGACTAATTCAGAAAGCTGGTTCCCTTCCTGGAAGGAGGGGAGTAGGAGGGGCAGGACTGTGTGTTTTCCAACAACCAACAATGGAACTCTTGTAGGCAGGGGCCCTCAGGCAGGGAAAACACATCCACCCCTGTGGGTTACTGACAAAAGTCTCAGGTCTCAGAGCAAGGCTTTCCAGAGCATTCACATTCTTTGAAGATTGTTGCAACAAGAAATACTGGTTTGGGAATGTATGCCCACTGGGGTGGGCTCCCATTTACCCTTCTCTCTGCAGTGAGCAGCTGTGAGGGTTGGGGGAATCTCCCTCCTACAGCTCCTGAGGCCAGGACCAGATCCGCTTAAGACGATCTCTGTGTCATGAAGACTGCGTCAGTGGGGTCCAATCAAAGTGAAGTAAGGAATTTGGTTTAGGAGTTGAGGGAAGCGAAGATTGGGGTTTTGCTTCGGAAGAGTGGGAATGCACACATGAGGGCTGGAAATTGCAGTTTTTGTCACCACAAGACAAGCCAGCCTGAGGACAAAGCTAACACCACAGAGAACCACGGACCAGAAGAAATGGTGAGAAGCAAAGTCTGCACCCTGATCAAACCTTGTCTCACCTCCCTCTGGAATTTTCAGTCGCGTAATCTAATCATCTGACTTGTCTGAGTAAGCTTTAATGCGGCTCCCTGTTCTGTTCTAATTTGTAATCAAGAACAACCAAACTGACATCCAGAGATATTCTGTGGACCCAGAACCACTGCCCTTTCACTGGGATATGTCATGTGGTTTTTCGTTAGTTTGAGCCAAAGCACCTCTTTTAGCTTCAATCAGTGCAAGTGTTTCTGGAGGCCAATGAGTGCTTACCTCAGCCGGGTCAAGGCTCTGTTTCTGTGGACAAATCTGGGTCCCATTCTCCTGGATAGACATCTTGGTGATGGTCCTGTTCTCCTTCCCAGGTTCCACCTCAAAAAAGGGCAACGAGCCAGAGGAGCCGCAGGACTCAGCAAAGCCAGACGTGCAGGTGCCTGGGAACTCAACAGCCCTCCCATCAAAGGTAGCAATGTGAGCTGCCAGGGGAGAGTGGGTGACAACCAAAGATACCCCTCAGGGTCCCCCACTCCTGTCCAGGCCCACAGGAGGAGGGGAGCAGTCTGTGGTGTGGCTGGGTGCCTCACAGCGGCAGAATCGCTCATAAGCTCTCCAGCCCAGAAGGGCTACCTGGCCAGGCGGGACCTGTCCCCATGGAGCAGCCACCCTGGACAGGGGGGCCGGACACGAAGGCCATGCCACGCTGGCAGCTGTCCTGGCACAATGGAGGGCAGGGCAGGCTTGGCACAGGAAGCTGGGCCCCAAGGAGCCTCGAGCTCGCACTGGCTGTGGGGAGGGCAGGCCAGCTCTGGGGGAAGACAACTTGGGGTCAATAATCAGCCAAACATTATTATTCTGGAATGTTTCCAACCAGAAGAGGGCCCAGGGAGCAGAGGGACGTTCAGAGGGCAAAGAGGGAAGGGGGCTGCACTGTCAGGAGGCAGTGTGGTGGTGGTGGCGGCGACGGGCAGTAAGGGGCGTGACAGTGATGAGGATGGTCTCAGATCACACTGCTTCAGCCCTGCTCTATGCTTCTCCTAGGTGTTATCTCTTATAATTCTTAATATTTTCTTCCTGAATTCACTGAAGAAAACTGAGTGAGCCAGAAACTGCAAGGGCATCATCATCTCACCAATGAAAAGAACTATCTGCCATTGAGCAGTCACCAGAAGTCCGAATTTCACTTGCCATCTTGTTTAAACCTCCCAACGATCCCCTGAGATAGGGACTTCCATCAGCCCCTCTTACAGACAAGGAGCAGTTAAGTGACTTGTCTGAGGTAACACAACTTCCGAGGGACAGAGATGGGATTCAAAACGAGGCTGTTTCCCCTGAGCCCACGCTCCCACTCGGCAGGAACCACCTGGGGGAGCAGTGCTGGTCCCCAGAGGCAGGTCACACCACCACATTTTTGCCTGACTCCTCAGCCCGTGTTGGCCATTTGCTTGCCTGGCCCCACTGGCGTTTCAGTTTCCAAGCCCTGAGGAGCAGCAAGAAACTGCCTGGAGGATGTGGGGATTGCACACGTTAGGATCCAGAAGTGTTACAGGGGCAGGGCAGCAGATGGGCTCAGAAGAGAGGGCAGGTCAGTCCACACGAGCACCCCAGGGCCGCTCAAGCAAGGGCCGCATGTCGTCCATGAGCCAGGAGCAGTTGTAGCAGCGTGCCTCCTGCTGCCTCTGAGTGGCCTTGCATGAGTTATGTAACTTCCCTGTGCCTCGGTTTCCTCATCCATGAAACAGAAGTAATAGTAGCACTTCCCTGGGAAGATTGTTATAGGGATTTGATGAGCTAGGGCCTATGGCAGTAAATGCTGCCAGATGCTCTGGTGCATCCCCATTGCAGCCCCCCTTGCAGATAGGCAGGGCCATGATTAGTTCTGGCCAAGGTGCTATGAGCTCACCATGACCCCCACAGTAAAGGATTGAAGAGCAGGGGTGCATGGTAGCAGGGTGGTGTCATGGATGAAAGTGAATTTGAATGGTGCACTGGAGAGCTCTGTGGAATTTGTAGGGCAGAGAATAACCCTTGGCCGTGTTGGGCCATGGAGAGGTCAGGTTAGTTTGTTACTGAAGCATAGCCTCGCCTATCCTGACTGATTCGATAGCCCTCAGTGTCAGCTGTCATTATCACTGGCGCACTATAAGCAGGGAAGGTCCTCAGGGTCAGCTGGTGAGGTCAGGATAAGGAAGACCCTCACCTGACAACACTGTGGCCCCTCACCACAGGCCACCAGCTGTCCCCTGCACAGGGAGGCCATGTCACTGGCGTTCCTGGATGTAGCTCCCCAGCACGGCACACAAACTCTCCTGCAAGTCCCCTGTGGTACACTGGTCGTGGACATGGTTCTCCATGTGGACCCGAGGCTCTGTGTCCTCAGGGCAGGCCCAGTAGGGCCACCGTGGGCACCCAGCCATCCACAGATGGGCCAGTGCAGGGCTGCCTGGTCTGGTAGGCACAGAGGCCCTAGGCCTGTGGTTAATCTGTGGGTATTGGAAAGCCACATGCTACTGGAGCCACAGAAGTCACCCCCAGGAAACGTGTGAAAGTCCCCACCAAGGCCACACAGGGTGCTGATGTAGACCTCAGGCACTGTCGCTCAGAGGACACCAGATCTGTGAAAGGCCACAGAGAGGTGAGAAGCCATGTGGACTGTGATGGCCGAGGACATGAAGAAGGCCCCGAGCAAGCCCCCAGCCAGGGGCAGGGGTGGGTGGCCCGGGACCCGTTCTGCTAGAACACAGATACCTGGGCCCTGCTTCTGCTCCTGGGATCCACTCTCCACACGGCATCCAATGAGTCCTTTAAAACCACAAATCAGATCCTGCCCCTCCCTTGCTCAAAACCTTTCGGTGCCCCCCTAGACACTCAGATAAAACCCAGAGTCCTGTGCAGCCCTATAAAACTGGCCTCCGTCACCTCCATGTCCGCATCCTTTCCCACTCATCCCACCTCACTCTGCTCCGGCCACACGCTGGGCTCCATTCCATCCTCTAAACCTCTCCGCTGGCTGCTCCCTCGGCCTGGCTGCTCGTCCCTCCCGTGTCACAGGACTCCCGCTCCCACCTCCTTCAGGTGTCTGCCCAGCGCCTCCCAGCTCTGCCTGTCTTAAAGCATAACGGCCCACTGCATTCTCTTGCGTCCTTACAGGGGCAGGGCAGCAGATGGGCTCAGAAGAGAGGGCAGGTCAGTCCACACGAGCACCCCAGGGCCGCTCAAGCAAGGGCCGCATGTCGTCCATGAGCCAGGAGCAGTTGTAGCAGCGTGCCTCCTGCTGCCTCTGAGTGGCCTTGCACGAGTTATGTAACTTCCCTGTGCCTCGGTTTCCTCATCCATGAAACAGAAGTAATAGTAGCACTTCCCTGGGAAGATTGTTATAGGGATTTGATGAGCTAGGGCCTATGGCAGTAAATGCTGCCAGATGCTCTGGTGCATCCCCATTGCAGCCCCCCTTGCAGATAGGCAGGGCCATGATTAGTTCTGGCCAAGGTGCTATGAGCTCACCATGACCCCCACAGTAAAGGATTGAAGAGCAGGGGTGCATGGTAGCAGGGTGGTGTCATGGATGAAAGTGAATTTGAATGGTGCACTGGAGAGCTCTGTGGAATTTGTAGGGCAGAGAATAACCCTTGGCCGTGTTGGGCCATGGAGAGGTCAGGTTAGTTTGTTACTGAAGCATAGCCTCGCCTATCCTGACTGATTCGATAGCCCTCAGTGTCAGCTGTCATTATCACTGGCGCACTATAAGCAGGGAAGGTCCTCAGGGTCAGCTGGTGAGGTCAGGATAAGGAAGACCCTCACCTGACAACACTGTGGCCCCTCACCACAGGCCACCAGCTGTCCCCTGCACAGGGAGGCCATGTCACTGGCGTTCCTGGATGTAGCTCCCCAGCACGGCACACAAACTCTCCTGCAAGTCCCCTGTGGTACACTGGTCGTGGACATGGTTCTCCATGTGGACCCGAGGCTCTGTGTCCTCAGGGCAGGCCCAGTAGGGCCACCATGGGCACCCAGCCATCCACAGATGGGCCAGTGCAGGGCTGCCTGGTCTGGTAGGCACAGAGGCCCTAGGCCTGTGGTTAATCTGTGGGTATTGGAAAGCCACATGCTACTGGAGCCACAGAAGTCACCCCCAGGAAACGTGTGAAAGTCCCCACCAAGGCCACACAGGGTGCTGATGTAGACCTCAGGCACTGTCGCTCAGAGGACACCAGATCTGTGAAAGGCCACAGAGAGGTGAGAAGCCATGTGGACTATGATGGCCGAGGACATGAAGAAGGCCCCGAGCAAGCCCCCAGCCAGGGGCAGGGGTGGGTGGCCCGGGACCCGTTCTGCTAGAACACAGATACCTGGGCCCTGCTTCTGCTCCTGGGATCCACTCTCCACACGGCATCCAATGAGTCCTTTAAAACCACAAATCAGATCCTGCCCCTCCCTTGCTCAAAACCTTTCGGTGCCCCCCTAGACACTCAGATAAAACCCAGAGTCCTGTGCAGCCCTATAAAACTGGCCTCCGTCACCTCCATGTCCGCATCCTTTCCCACTCATCCCACCTCACTCTGCTCCGGCCACACGCTGGGCTCCATTCCATCCTCTAAACCTCTCCGCTGGCTGCTCCCTCGGCCTGGCTGCTCGTCCCTCCCGTGTCACAGGACTCCCGCTCCCACCTCCTTCAGGTGTCTGCCCAGCGCCTCCCAGCTCTGCCTGTCTTAAAGCATAACGGCCCACTGCATTCTCTTGCGTCCTCCCCTGCTTAATTTTACTCCAGAGCAAAACTGTGTTACTTTCTGAAAAACGAGATGTTTACTTATATATTAGTTGATTGTTTTTCTCCCAGGGATTTTTGTCTGTTTTTCTAACAAAATAAACAAAGTCACTGTCCTTGCCTGGGAGAACTCCTATTCTGTCAGGAGGAAAACAGGCAACAAAGAAGTGATTAACAGGATGAATTAAGATACTGACAAACACTATGAAGGAAAGAAAGTAGGGTCATACCAGAAAGAGTCAGGGAGGGGTGGCTTCTTTCACGGCAGAGGGCTTCTTAGAGGAAGTGGCGTTTGAGCAGCGGAGACTTAAAGAATACAAGTGCATCCGCTTTGTGAACATCAAGGAAGAGTGTTTCAGCCAGAGAGAGCAGCTTGTGTAAAGGCCCTGAGGTGGGAGCCTGCCTGGGGTGCTGGAAGAGCAGCAGGGAGGTCAGTGTGGCTGAAGCAGGATGAGGGGCGAGTCACAGGAGAGGAGAGCAGGGAGCTGACAGGCCGGTTCTGTGTGGTCACATTGCCCACAGTTTTACTCGGGGTGAGATGGAGCCATAGGAGGGCTTTAAGATGGGACCTATGTGACCTGACTTAGGATTTTAGAAGACAGCATCTTCCTTCTGCCTGCCAGGGGCTGGGGAAGGCCAAGGCACTGCTAGAAAGCTGGTTTGGCTTTGCAGTTACATGTTTTATTTATCAAACACCTTAATGCGCTGACTAAATGTCTGTCCTCAGGAATTTGTACCTCTTAATCCTCACATACAGGTTGGTACCTGTGACATATTAAGAAATATGTATCTGCCCCCAGTTCCTGGCACATAGCTCCTAAAACTCTTGTAATTTCCTTAGTGGTGGGGGTGCTAGGAGCATCTTTTGTGCTGATATTTAGTCCTTGACCCCAGTTGCTGGCACACGGAGCCTAAATCCCTTGGACTTCCCTGGGTGATAGGATTGTCTTTCGTTCTAATGAGGCCCACTTGGCAGGCTCCTGGATGGGCGCTGGTCACCGGGAAGACCCAGTTATGATTAGAAGCTTGGAGCTTTAGTCCCACCTCCCATTCTCTGGGGAGGAGAGAGGGACTAGAGACTGAGTTAATGACCGATCATGCCTGTGCAATGAAACAGCCATAAAAATCCCTGAACTATGGGATTTGGAGCTCTTTCGGGTTGGTGACCACACCCTCGTGCTGGGAGGCTGATGCACCCCAACTCCACAGGGACAGAGGCTCCTGTGTTTGGGAGCCTTCTGGACCTCACCCTATGAACCTCTCACCTGGAGGTTCATCTGTAGCTTCTGTAGGAGCTTTGTTAATAAACTGGGAGATGTGCTCCTGAGGTCTGTGAGGCGCGATAGACACTTATCAATCGTGAAGAGGGGGGTGTGGGAACCCCCTGTTTATAGCCAAGTCAGACAGAAGTGTGGGTAACATGGAGACCCCACTACTTGAGGTTGGCATTGAAGTGGGGGGGCATAGTGTGGGGGTGAGCCCTGAACCTGTGAGGTGTGCCGCTAACTCCAGGTAGATAGTGTCAGAATTGAATCGTAGGACATCCAGCTGGTGTCCCAGAGAACTGGAGGACTGGAGGACTGGTTGGTGTGAAAAACCCACACATTCGGTGACAGAAGTGTTCTGGGTGAGCAGGGAACAGTAAGTAGAGGGGAAAACACTCCACCTTTTTCCCCTTACAGTACCATTATCTCCCATTGGACAGATGGGGACACCAAGGCACAGAGAAAATCACTAGGTCAAGTCAATAGTTAACAAATGGCACAGTGAGATTCACACCCAGGCCTCCGGGCCCAGCACCCCATGCTTCAGCACTTCCCCACATTGCCTGCTGGAGCGTCGACAAGCCCCCCAGAGGACCCCGTGGCTCTTTGTCCCCCACTTGTATGACCCAGAACAGGAGTGTAAATGGAGGCCCATATCTCATATATCTTTAAGCTACCAAACTGTTCATTGAAACATGTTCTGTCCTCCTGCCTGGACACACAGACTTTCCCAGTGCCCTGGAGGCCAGGTTTGAGTTTGGGAGGTTTGACTCCTCAGAGTTCCTGGGCAGGATATGGCCTCCAAGGAGAGGCTGCCACCGTGTCTGCGTCCACCTCCTTTCTTCCCAGCTCTGGTCTTTGAATGCTCTCCACCACCACCCCCCGCCCCCACCCCAGGCCCGCACTGCCCAGCCCAGCTCCATGCCTCCCGACCTCTTGCAATGGAGCCTTGACTGTGCTCAGCAGGGGCCGATTGTGTGAGGCCCTCGAAGGACTCAGAGCCTTTTATGCAGGGATTCCGGCTCCTGGCACACAGTCTATAGGGAGTTGGAGAGAGTGAAGGCTCAGGGTGGAGACTTTTTAGAAGTCCTCGGACACCTCACCTGAGGGGAAGGAGGAGCATGGTTAGAGATGGCCAGAGCAGGCTCTGTTTTTGGAGAGAAGAGTGGGGCAGGGACCCTCTGCTCAGTTCTAAGGGTGATGGAGCCCTAGCACCTCGCTCTCCAAAGTGAATGCCCTTGGGCTGCCATTTCATCAGCCTGTCGTTATTTCTGTTCACTAGTCACCAGGGTTCTCTGAGATGCAGGACTAGCCCTCAGTGACACTGACCTAGACCACCCCACACTGTCCCAACAGCAAAGACAGCCACCACCCTGCCATGTCAACATCCACCTGCAGGGCCCACGTGACACCCCAGGGCTCCTGGCACCCGACCTCTACCCAGATGGTGAAGGGCTGTGGTGTGGCCAGCATTCGGAAACGGGTGGTGGGCCAATTGAAGGTGCGTTAGTGGGGGTCTCCACAGAGCTACAGTGTCCCGCAGCACATGCAATGGCAACCTCAGTCAGCCTTGTGCTGGTGGCACAGCTCACAGGCCCACAGGCATGAGGATGGCATTTGAGCAGCAGTCCGGAGCCGGGGCTGTGGCACACACATGTCTGGTCACAGCTGGTGGTGGGCAGCACGTAGCACCCAAAGGATGTAGTATCCCTGTGGGCAGCAGCTGAGCCAGCGCACAGCACACAGATGCGCCCACCTCCGGGACAGGGCGCCCAAGCCAGGGGTAAGCGCTGTGTGCTGGCAGGTGCAGGCTGCTGAGGAGTTAAGGCTCGCACAGATGCTGGGTAGGGTAGCCCGCAGACATCATAGGAGTTGTTGGCTGGACATGCCACACCTGGGGGAGGGGACAGATGGACTGGGCCACCATCCTGAAACCCTTGGTTGCAGGTCAGGGAGGTGTGGAAGGATGGACCATAGGATCCTTCTCAAACCACTGCTGTTCCTGGTTAATGCCCTTCCTCCATGTGGGTTATTAGTATTATGTCCACGGGCCACTTAAAAACTATGGCGCATGATGAGTAATTAGGACAATTCAGGCTCAAGTGCAGGAAGTTGGGAGGTGGGATTAGAAAGGGCTAAGGAGAGCCTGGCTCTGGTTTGAGGTTTGGGTCGCCCTACTTGGGAGCAGGGATGGCTTTTTTCTGGAGTTGAGAAGTTCTGTTCAGCCGGGGCAGGTGGCATCCTAGCTGGCCAAGAGGTGAAGTCCCTGTCAGAAGGTGGAGGGGCACCTATGGCATCCCAGCCTGGGTTCCAATCCCCATTTCCTACTGTGGGAACTTGGGTAAACACTCATCCCTTCTGTCCCTCAGTTTCTCCACCTGTAAACAGATTTAACAATGGTTGCTGGTACTAAGGAGCACCATATATTCGCTATTAGTGATCTCTGGTTTGGCCCATCTGTCCTTGAGGCACTGCCTGCTTGCCCGCTGTTTGCCCCCAGCCCAGGTCTCCCATGCCCAGTGTAGCCACTCACCCAGGTCAGCTGTGCTGGGTCTACCTGCTGTTGCTGAAGTTGGCATCACTGGGGGCGGGTGCCCCCCTGGGGAGCACCTTGTCACTTCTGGGCTGCCACTGAAGTGACCACAGAGGCTGCAGAGATGGCCCTGGTGGTCTGGACACCCCCATGTGAAGTGTGCTGGTGCAGCTGAATGGCATCTTCAGCTGGTGCCCACCTGCCGCAGCCCCAGACCCACTCCTGCCACACTTGGGCCTCAGAGCCCAGCTACGCCGGGAGGCTCCCCTGCAGGTGGGGGAGCACAGCATCTCTTCCTTCTGCCACTTGCTGCCCCTGCCCTATGCCACCCACACACCCCTCTGCGACCCCCACAACAGGTCTGAGGGAGGGAGAAAGAGCTGGGGCATCTCCAGCGCTGCACATCCAAAGCTGAGCCCCCACCTTATCCCGAGCCCTGCCCCCACCTTCTCCCCTCAGGCAGGTGCAGCTCTATCCTCAGTCTGCAGAGGCCAAAAATCAGGTCATGCTGGAACCGCCCTCTCATCCCGCCTCTGATCCCTCCGAGGTATTTCCAGAAGCCCACCACCTCACCCCACCAGCCACCACCTCTCCCTGATTGCACCACTGTCACTTCCCACCTGGACTGTGTGTCAGTCTCCTCTGAGTCCACCTGCTCCCCTCTGCCCCCGACAACCTGTCCCCCACTTGAAGCCAGACAGAACCTCACCCTCCCACCTCATACACACACACTCCCAATCTTCCTTTCGTGTTTTGTTTTTGTGCCACTCATTACTATCTGATACACGTCTATTTTTTACTGTCTCCCACTGTTATAATGGAAGTCCAGAAGAGAAAGAGCCAGTCTGTTTGTTCTTTCCTGTGTCCCCAGAGTCTAGAACAGGGCCTGACACAATGTCAATGTTCAGCAAAGTTTTGTTGATTGGATGAATGATGGCTGGAGGGATGGAAGGATAGATGATAGATGGAGGAGTGGGCAGGAGGGATGGATGGATCAATGGTGCGTTATGTCACAGGAGATGGTTTGACGCAGGGGACTTTCAGTGAAGGGATGGGTTGATGGAGGGCTAAACCAACTGAGGAACAGAAGGATGAAGAGGTAGAGGGAGGGATAGATCAATGAATGGATAGAAAGTTGGATGGATGGATTGAAGGATGATTGTAAAGAATGTAACGATGGAGGGATGGATGGACTATTGAATGGAAGGATGGAGATTGATGAATGGGTGGACAGGTGGACCAGTGGATGCAGCATGGGCTTAAGTGGATGAGGGGAAGATGAGGGATTGGCCTGGACAAGGTTGAGAGTTGGTCTTACCTTTCTGCCTTCTTACTCCGACTTATTGCCCTTGTTCCAGGATCACACAAGTCCAGTATCTCCATACAGTACAAAAGAGACATCCATTGGCTGCAGAAATTCCACACTGAAGGAGAGGCCCCCAGGGATGGGATCTGGCCGACAGGAATGAGCCAGGTGGTGGGAGCAGGTGCCTTGAAATGGGTCATGGCTTCATCAAAGGTGAAGGAATGAGGGTCTCCAGCGGCCACACAGGTGCCTGGGGGCTCTGGCAGCAAGCCCTGAAGACCACAGCCCCCACCCTGACCCGAGCAGAGCAGCAAGCTGGGCTGCAGTGAAAGTGCCCTGGGCTGTCAAAGCTGCAGTCATGGTCACATCGTTCAGCCAGACCAGGCCTCCCAGCTAGGGAGAGCGGCCAGGTGAACATCCCTGCCCAACCCAGGCTCTCCTGAATCCGGGGGAACTAGGGACCCAGAAAGAGCAGAGGCCGAGGGCTGGCTTGACATGAGGATGGGCATGAAGGTGATGCTGGGAGTCAACAAAGGGGGGCCTGGTGCTCAGGACAGGCCTGGAGGGCAACAGCCTTTGAAACCTGCTTCCCTCAGCAGAAAGCACAGTCCAGTGGTAAGGGCACAGTTTAGGGTCAGAGAGATCTGTAGCCCAGACCTGGCTGTGTCCCCTGAGAGCTCTGTGCAGCAACTAGTCTCCGTTTCCCTTCTCCTCCTTTTCAGTGCCAGCATGTGCACAAGGCCCTCAGCACCCAGCTGGCTCACAGCATGCTCTCCACATATGTTAGCTATGATTATTAATATTATTACATATTATATTATATTATATTATATTATATTATATTATATTATATTGATTATTATATCGATTATATTATTATATATATTATTATTGTATTATAATATGCAGGTCCAATGCTGGATACATGGGGAGCTCAGAAAATAGTACCTGTTATAATGATGACAGAATTACATATGTAGTAAATGACCAAAATGTATTTGCCATTGTTATCATTATGTATCATTAAATACTTAGCACAGGAACATAGTAAATGCCTAATAGATACTGGCCATTATTAAAGCTATTATCATCATCATTATTTTAATATGCTTCCACACATATAGACACATAGTAATTCCCCAAATATATTAACCATTATTATTATTATTGTCGTTATTAAAGTGCTTTACCTAGGCATGAACACAAGGTAAATACCCAATAAATTTTAACAACTATTAGCAAGTAGTGAGGTGGGGCAGGGACATGGGACAAGCATCATGATTAATTTTTCCCGCCTATGAAGAAAAACGCTGAAATATAAATAGTACAGTAAGGACAGGAGGGGCTCCATTGTAAGGCTAAGATTCCATTTTAAAAACCAGGGAGTTAGGAGGTAAGATTCTTAACATTATGGTAATTAGCCAACAACTGCTCCTGTCATAAGGCAGGGTGAGCAGTCCTAAATAGTATGTTTCCGGGGCTTGAGGGTAGCCACTAACTTGGAGAAGAACAGGATCAATAAATTCCTGGTGTTAAGTTTATCTTACAGAATATCTAGAGGACAGACTATGGATGTTGATATAATGCCTCTCACCGTAGACATCATGAGACCACATGTCAAGCCAATACCCCCTGGCTCTTTGCCTCATTCTTGAAATCCATAAAAGACAGAACCCTGAACCTTGAAGCATGCCTCCTCGCTGAGGTTGCCCGCACTCCCCTTTCTTTAGGTGTGTACTTTACCTTGAACAGAGATTTCCTGCTGCTCAACTTACTGCATTTTGTCTCTGCACTCTTTCAAGCCTCTTGGGTGATTATTAAGAAACCCCTTTTCTCAGTGGTAAGCATCTTTGTTACTTTGCTATTTCATTCAATTTTCTAGACTTAATTTAAGCACAAGTCTTCACTCTGTCTATCCTACTTCAGACAAGTAAGGAAGGGCTACTAAGAACTCTGACTTGGGTTTTCAAGTTCTCGTCGCCTGGGTAACCTGGACAGGACTGCAGCTGTATGATCATGCTTTTTAGTAACCTGCCCCCAAATCTCCTTTCTTTGCCTTTGGAAAGTCCCAGAACATAATCTCACTCCATCCAGTGCTCTGAGGCTCCCCCAAATCCTGGGGTGGTAAGAGCTTAGTTCCCAGGCCATGCAGATTCAAGTGAACACTGGATACCTGGTGACCCTGGCTTCAGGAGCTGGCAAGGGGTCTGCCCTATGCTGAGCAGGAGTTCAGTGAGCTTCCCTTTCCTCCCTCTGCTCTTCCTTGCTCGCCACTGCCAGCAGAGTAGCTACTACTCTTGCTTTAATGAGTTCCCTCCTTACCTACATTCCTCCAACCTGTTCGAGAATTCTTTCTCAATCAGTCAGTAATCCTCCCCAGTCCAGGTTGAGTTTTCACCTAGTGCCCAGGGAGAGACCTCTCCAGACCCAGATGCCCGACAACAGTAGCATGGGACCTGACATATGGTCAGTACTCAAGTGTTTGCCATTCAGGTAACACTAACAGCAACAATAATAAAGCATCCAGTATGGATTTTGTACCTATTAATGCTAAATAACTTTAGCTGTTGTGATTATTGTTCATTATTTTTTTATTGTCATTATTATAACCAAAGTGTTTAGTTGAGCCCTAGCACATAGTAGGCATTCAGTAAGTGATGGCTGTTAGAAACATACTAACAATAGTAGTAATAATAACATGAAGCCCTGCCCCATTGCTACCCAAATGTTCAAACCAGCCAGGGGCCTCTGATGCCCAGTACCAGAGAGCCAGCAAGAGCTGTGGTACAGGGGAGCAGGGCAGGGGACAGTTAGAAAGGGCTGAATGTGGACTAAGTTTTCATGATGTCAGAGAATTTTTGTTCATTTTGTTAGCTGTGAACAAATCATGATAGTTTTTTTGTTTTTAAGCCCTAATTTAGTAAAGAATCATGCTGAAGTATTTAAAGCACTTCAGCTGTAATGGGGGTCCTTACACCATGCCTGGGATTTGGTTTACAAAAAACTAAATGCATAAGAGTGGATAAAACAAGGTTGGCCACAACTTGGCCATTGTTAAGCTGTTTGAATGATATAGGAGCATGTAAACTATTCTAGTTTTGTTTGAAAATGTACATAATAAAGAGTTTAAGTAAGAAAGAATTAAAGGATATTGCTATCATAAAAGGTCTTCCATCTCTGTAGAAAGTCTTGGTTTTAAGTCTGTCCTCCTTCATTTTCAGCTGTGTCCTTTATCAGCATAGGTAACTTTACCTTTATGAGCCTCAGTTTTCTCAACTGCAAAATGGGCATAAAAGCAGACCTTCTCTCCCGCACAGGGTGTTTCTGATGTGATAGCAGCAGGCACATGTCCCCCTCAGCCCCACACCTGGGACAGTGCAGAGGCTCAGTGGGTATTAGCAGCTGCTGAGATTATCTGGCATCTCTGGGAATTAGAAAGGTGAGTATCTCAGGTCAGGCTGTCTGACGGTGGAAGAGGAGACACAGTCCACTTGGCAGGGAGGTAGGGAGCAGCACAAGGAGTCATAGAGTCAGCCCAGGGCTGGTGTTACCATATATGGCAGTCAGTAACACACAGGCTCCAAACCGACCAGCATGCATGCAGCTGGAGCCTGGGAAGAGTCTGGAAGCCCCTGCCACACTGGGCTTGGGAATGTGTGAAGAGGTTCAGGACGCTCCGGAGTACAGAAATGCTTCTGTCTAATAACGGACAGGCAGATGAGTTCCCACCCCACTCAACCGCAAGTCACCACAAAAGGAATAATTCCTCCCCTGGCAGGCTGCGGCATCTGTCTGCAGAGCTGAACAGAGGATGTGGTCACTGCCACGGCAGCGCACAGAGCATTGGCACAGCTGGATCTATGTGGATCCAGGTTGATTTTGCTGTGGCAAGGGGCAGAGGGCCCTGGGAGTCCTGCAAGAGCCTCCTAGCTGACACATCTGCCCCTGGTCACTACAGGCTGGACAGGCAGCCCACGGTCATCCCCACAAACCTTGCTTTCTTCTCCCAAGTAACTCAGGCCTCAGTATTGTCACTAGGCTCGTTGTTGGAGCTGCTGCAGAACCCACAGGTGTGGCCCTCAGGGCTGTGGCAGGTGAGGTGAGGCTGCATGTGAGGTCTGTGCTGAGCCATTGGCCAAAGTTGGACTGCAGCACAGAGAAGAGGCCATTCCAGTATGCAAAAGGCCTGCCCCTAGTCAAGCTTACAGGGAGGGTCACTGTCCAGCTGTTCACCTAGGGAGCAGACAGAGGAAAGGAAGTCTCAGAAGACAGGACCATGTGTGTTTGGTTCAGTATTGCTTGGCACATGGTAAGTGTTCAAATATAAGTGAAATATTTTTAAGTGAAGGAGCAAAGACAGACCTCTCACAGTGAACATTTCTTGTTTTATCCTGCTCAGCATTTCTTTCTCCTTCTTCCAGATTTCCTTGGGAAATCCCCCATCCCATCTCTGTCCATGGAGGTCACAGGAAGTCAACCCCAGCCCCACTCCAGCTTACAGCGCTCGAGCCTGTGCAGCCATCCACTGGCTGCTTCAGAGCAGGTCGGCGACCAGCTAGTTTGTGTGGCTCAAGCTGGGCCCATGAGGGACAGCCCTGGGACTTGTCAGAAAAGGTTCTCTTTGACCAGTGGCATTTGCTAGACTGTCTGCCATCTTTGTCCTCACAGTGTGGGGGAGCGTGTGCTTGGACATGAAGCCACTATAGAGGAAAGTAGAGCCCAGAACAGAGACATATTCCAGACACATTTTTTGAGCACTTGGATCTGCGTAAGCCTAAAGCCAAAAACCTGTGTGCTTCCTTTTACTTATGCAAAACAATAAATTCCTGTTTTTCTTAAGCTGGTTTGAGAAGTGTTTCTGTTATTTTAAAATGAATAAGTTCTGAGAGATATATGCAGAAAAGTGAATATAATCACAGAACAGAGGTAACAATGTAGAAGCATTGGTGGGAAAATGATTTTTTCCCTTCAGGCTGTAGTTTTTGGGGAGAGGCTGGATTCCTAGAAGCTACCTGTCCTCCAAAACTCTGTGATTTCCTGAGCCATGCCTGGGAGGTCCCTCTGAAGGTGAACCTAGGTCGTGTTAACCCAAATTGACACCGTTGAGATGAGCATGACCAGGCTGCTGGACCTGTTCTCTTTCCCCGGTTTTACCCTGGGCCAGAGAAGCCACAGGGCTCAGCAAAGACAGACACATGGGTGCCTGAGAACTCAACAGTTCTGCCATGAAATTGGTGATGTGCGACTGCCCAGGTGCCTGGCAGGTGCCAGGGGAGAGCAGGTGGCACCTGTAGATGCCCCTCAGGGCCCATCCTGCAGGAGGGCCGAGGGAGGTGCACAGGGTGGGTGGAAACCTTGCAATGGCAGAGCTGCTCACAGTGACCTCCAGCCCACAGAGCCTCCCCAGTCAGTAGTTCCTGTTGGACGGGGGTGGGCACACAGTCAGTGTCCCTGGGCATGAAGCATGTCACTGGCTCAGTGTCATGTAGCTCTCAGACAGGGCAGGGCTCAGTGCAGGAGGTGAGATGCAAAGCGCCTCAGGGCTCGTGGTGGCTGTTGGGAGGGCCGGCCAGCTCTGGAGGAACACAAGTGGTTTGCTGCATTCACTGTCCCTAGACCAGATGCCATCTCTGCTATCTCCCTGGTACTGACACAAGGCAAACCTTGAGGAATATTTGCTGAAAGAATTAATGAATATATTGAAGCCCTTTGCTGTAGCATTAGTGTGTTCAACTTTGAGCATCTACTATGTGCCAGGTCCCATTCTAGAGGCTGGTGACACAGCAGTGACCAAGGCAGACAGAAATCCCTGCCCTTATAGAAGAGGTGTTCCAGAGCAGGGCCGACAGCCTATGTGTAGACCGGATCCGGCCTGCCATCTGAGTTTTTACAGCCCACAAGCTAAGAATAGGTGGTAATGTAAAAGGCAAATATTTGATCTTTGTCCTCAGTATAATTAAAAAATAAATATTTGGACTGTTGGCACACAGCTTCTAAAAACCTTGAACTCTCCAGAGTGATGAATATTTTTTATATGATAATGAGAGGACTGGTGACTGGTGGCTTCTAAATTGTTTCAGCATGCAGGCCGGTCACCAGAAAGGTCAAGACTTCATTAGAAGCTTGGAAATTTTAGTCCCATCCTGCAACCTTCTGGGAAGGGAGAGGGTCTGGAGACTGAGATAATCTCCAATGGCCAGTGATTAAACTAATCATGACTACAAAATGACACCTCATAAAACTGCCTAAAATAACAGGGTTTGGGGAGTTTCACAGTTAGTGAACACGTTCATGTGCTGAGAGGGTGGCACACCCCAGCTCTATAAGGACAGAAGCTCCTGTGCCTGGGACCCTTCTAGAATTTGCCCTATGTGTCTCTTCATCTGGCTGTACATTTGTATTCTTTATAATAAACCAGTAATAGTAAGTAAAATATTTTCTGGAAGTCTGTGAACTGTTCTAGCAAATTATCAAATCTAAAAGAGGGAAGGGTTTGTGGGGACCTCCTGACTTAGTAACCAAGTCAGACAGAAGTCTCGATAACCTGGGGACACAATACTTGTGACTGGGACCTGATGTGAGGATGGTCCTATGGGACTGAGCCCTTAATCTGTGGAGTCTGATGTTAACTCCCAGTATTAGTGTCAGAGTTGAACTGAATTGTAGAACATCAGCTGGAAAGTTGGAAAGCTGGTTGGTGTTGGAGGGGAAAAAAACCCCAGACATTTGGTGTCAGAAGTGTGAGTAAAAACAGGTCAGAATGGTGTTTTCATTTTTAAATGCTTGAAAAAAACCCAAAAGAACAATATTTTGTGAGCCATGAAAATCATGTAAAATTAGGATTTCAGTGTCCATAATAATATTTTAATATAACCTGGCTCATTTGTTTACATATTGTCTATAGCTTTTTTTGTGCTATAACAGAAAAGTTGAGTAGTTGTGGAAGAGTATGGCCCAGAAAACCTAAATATTTGTCTGGGTCTTTACAGAAAACTAGTAATAAATAAAAGAAGGCAATGTCAGATTG